GTTATTATTCAGATATTGTAGTTATTATTCACTTTGGAGGTGTTCCGTACAACTATTTTTTAGTTTTTAAGTGCCTGCGCCAACGTGACCCAGGAATTTTTTTATTACAATGTCATTATCACTGTTTTTGCTGTCTAGATCGCCATAATTTTCTCTGGGTCACGTAGGCGCACGCTATTAAATTTTAAGAAACACAGGCCAAAAATTTGTAATTTTTCCTACTTTTGTTGTTTTTGGTGCCCTCTCACCCCCTCACCTCACCTTGTTGCTGAAATTAATGGTTTTGAAGTTCATCCAAACAAACTTCAAACCTAAGGGAATATTTCAACATAATAAGTAGCTTTCCAAAACAAAATTTGAAAAATGAGAAAATAGGGGGGCCAAAACGGGGGCTTATCGTACCTTGTCCTTTGGACCGCCACTGGAAAATGAGGGTATATTGGATAGGGACAGAAATTTTGCCTTGCAACAGACCATCTACGGATCCCTCAAACAGCGTGGCACTCTCTTTACACGATCGGGTCGGATTTAACGTCCCCATTCTGACCGGACGTGACTGCAAACTTGTACATCCCGCACAGCCAAACGGACGCCCCACTTTGGCAAGCGTTTTACTGCCGGACGGACGAAGACCAAGTAACAATATTTCTATTCCCCAGTCACCGGGGGGGGGGGGGGGGATCAATGAAACACGACATGTGGTATTTATCAACCAACAAATTATAATTGGAGTGACAGTTTAATTTGAAAAATGGTGTTTTCCTTAGTGTTGCAGATAACAAGTTCAGATATACCGCCAACATCATTTTAATTGCGATTGATTGATTGTTGGTTTCTTAACGTCCAGTTTCAAAAATTAATTTTGATGCTAATTCTTGTGAATAGATGTAGGACTGTAAACCATGATAAGAATGTAAATCAAGCATAAAGACAGAATGCTTTATGCTTGATTAAGATTTTTGTCATGGTATATACTATATATGCAGTCCTACATCTATTACCAATTCTATTTCTAAGGGGTTTTTTCGTAGTACATTCGACTTATAGATAGGTGAATATCTAACAAAAAATCATTCCAAACCTGTAGCGTTAACTATTGTTCAGTAAAATAACTGAATTCTTATTAAGATGATGTTGATTTATAAGTAACAGATGGGATTATCGTGTATTAAATCTAAGACTAGACATGCTTAATTTCTGGCCCATTTTAATATTATACAATCATTGACATTTGATTGAGGTTGATACATACAGGTTATTAGAAAAATGATTATGCTTAGATTATCAAGTTACTGTAAAACTAATATGTAAAATTGAAGTTCCTTTTCCGTGTCTTTTATTCTTTTAAATGCATAATGTGTATAAATAATCTATTTAAGTTGTCCCATCAGCACATATAAAAAAGAAGATGTGGTATGATGCCAATGACACAGAAATTAACAACTATAGGTCACCGTACGGCCTTCAACAATGAGCAAAGCCCATACCGCATGTATATATTTTTTTCTTTCTTTGGATGGTTATCAGAAAAACTTAAAACCTCTATTAATAACGTTTATGTTTATACTTTACTGTTTTAACATGTTACTATCTGCATGCCATAACAGATTTATAGCTTAACTTTGCCATTTCAAAACTGCCATTTCAAAACTAAGAAAAGATATGAATTGTAAGCTGTAACATGTCGATTTTGTTTTCACTCTCAACGGCTTAGATTCAAGACTGTATACCATTGAAAAGTAAAGTTTTTCGAAATACTTGACAGATCACAATACTAAATTACATCACTTCGCTCCTTTGATTAAACTGTTGCATATACATTTTTATCAACACTGAAATGTAATTACCTTTGGCGTTTTTCTGATGATATAAGTGCGAGAAATACTAGACGGTGCATCATTGAACTGAATTGACCTGCGTAGGCGTGAAGACAATAAAGCTGTCATTTCACTTATCAAGCATTTAACCACTTAACCAACTCACCATGCTTGCATGATGTTGAACACGCGCGTCTTATCGTTCAGTCCCTTTAACAAATACCGCTGCTATAAAAGAATAAAGCTACTTTCAGCTATCATTTTTTAATCATTAACTAAAAAAATATATATATTTATGTATTTCTTCCGAATTATTTTTAAAAATGCACTTGGTCTTTGTTATAGATTGAATTTCTGTTATCAATAGGTTTTTGTCGGAAACTACTAAAGTTAAATTCAACATTTTGATTGCAACATGCGATATATATATACACGTAAATTAATAAACGTCTCTTAATATTATGTGGAATGTGATATGACTATTGTTTCTCCCCTATCTATATATTTTTTCTTCAAATATTACATAAACCCGTTTGAGAGCATTGTAAATGGTATATTTTCTATCTGATTTCCTACAATGAATTTTTAATTATTTTGAGAACAAATGTTATTTTTCGGGTGGCAAACAAATTCTCTCGCACACGTAACATTCCGTATATCGTCAGGTTATCGGAATTCCCATGGCCGGGACTAAGTGTGCACCACTTATTGCGGACCTGTTTTTGTATTGTTATATGAGTTACAATTTATGACGAAAATAAGCAAAGACCCATCGAAACAACATCTGATTCAAAAATTTAATAACACTTTTAGATGTTTAGATGATATATTGGCTCTCAATAACGACGACTTCAGTATGCACACTAAAGAGATTTATCCTGCCGAACTGAATTTAAATAAGGATAATACTAACAATGAACACTACCCTTTCCTGGATCTTGATATCTATATCTTTAACTGGAAGCTTAATACCAAAATTTATGATAAAAGAGATGATTTTTCATTTCCTATTATAATTATCCATTGTTAGATGGTGACGTTCCTTTGTCACCATCTTATGGTGTTTGTATATCTCAACTTGTTCGATTCGCTCGTGTATGTAACAACGTATTTGATTTCAACGAAAGAAATCTCTGTATTACTGAAAAATTATTACACCAGGGTTTTTCGATATCACAAACTAGTCTACATTAGTGTAGAGTAGTATGCTGATCGGAGCTGGAACTGCTTGGGAGTTTGGAGCCTCTGGCCTTTGTTAGTCTTGTATATTTTTAATTTTAGTTCATTTATATGTTTTGGAGTTTAGTGTGACGTCCATTTTCACTGAACTAGTACACAATTGTATTAAGGGCCAGTTGAGGACCACCTCCGGGTGCGGGATTTTCTCGCTGCGTTGAAGACCCATTGGTGGCCTTCGGCTTTTCTCTTGTCGAGTTGTTGTCTCTTTGAAATATTCCCAAATTTCCATTCTCAATTTTATCATAACATTAAATTAGTTATTCGTTTATTTATGATTAAATTGAGATTTAAACAAAAATCTAGTTTAACCCTTCATCATATTCCTGTGCCAGTCCTTACCTCGTCAGTTTTTGTCTTAATATGATATTCAATCCGGAGAATATGGTAATGATGACAGATATTTGATTGTTTAAATTATGTTTAATAACAACCTTCATATACTTGAGGTAATTTGCATGTGCAATTGTTGAAAAATCCTACATTGATAAAAGCTGACTGACGACCTATGTCGTGTATTGTTTTAAAGTATTATGTTGAAACACTATTAATCAAACACTGCTTATCATATTTTCCGAAACCAAACCATTATATTATACATTTATCTTTTTTAAATCGTGAACAACAGAAGTTATTTTTTAAATCTCAGATAAGCAACTTCTCTTATATACAATAATGTTCCCTACAGTAGGTATATACTAAACCCTTTTCCATTAATATTTCCTTGCGACCCGTCAGATACTGACAATATCAAATCAGATAGTGAAATACGCTGCATGTAACCTTTTATTGCCAGATCATAACGAATAGAAGTGTTACCTTTTGGTAATTTTATTTGCTTTGTTTATTTTATAAATTTCCCTTTTTTAACTTGCCTGTGTCTGTCGAAACAATCTATGATTAAAGGGAGATAACACTTTCTACTCGTCTATATTACAGATATTCGTAATAAAGGTAAAATTACTTGTTTAAGTAATATTACCCATGCACATAATATTACACGAATAAATAATCGCCTGGACTGGTGTTAGAATTAGACTTTTATGCTGACAAATTTTTGTCCCTCAACGGGATTCGAACTCACACCTTTGATACACTACAGCACCAATCGCTTAGCCTCATGTCCAGCGCTCTAGACCACACGACCACATCCGCTATATAAAAATATAACTTCAATAGTCGTAGTGTTACCTTGTCACGTAAGGCGAATCTAGAGATAGACATAAGACATGTGTTTTAAGCGTGTGAAGATGTTATATTATTATTTAATACACAATGTATTTGTTATTTGTCAGCAATCTAACTCAACAATTTTTATATACCGTATGGGATAATGATTCAATTCATTTATATACAGTCACTAGAAATAAGTATATCATACAAACAAGTCTAAGCAAGTGACAACCATACAATATATATGCCCACTGGATCTCAGTGTGTTTGAGACACAGGGTTAATACAAATATTTATATAAGTCTGAAAATTACACCCAACAGTGTTAGAATTAGACTTTTATGCTGACAAATTTTTGTCCCTCAACGGGATTCGAACTCACACCTTTGATACACTACAGCACCAATCGCTTAGCCTCATGTCCATATATATATATATACAAAAAAAAGTTTCTTTTCAAGCGGTGTACAGAATTATATATTAATTATATATATATATATATATGTCTCTGGCTTAGACTACTATAATAACACATGTGTTAAAGTAGTCTCAGGTCTCTGGTGAGAATCACAGGCACTTGTCTCTGAATTTTTTAACCAATAACATAAATATATATTGGTAAAAAATGAATCGGAAAGAAGTGGCTGTGGAGAGGATTTAATGGGACTATTATACTAACAGTCCCAGGGAGTTAATTATTAACAAAGTTATATCCTTCAACCTGGTATTTCCGGTTTTTAACACACGTCTAGTCCGAAGTGTATGGCAGAATATCGTACACCTTTGCATTTCCTGTTACTTTTTTTTTTGTTCGCAAAATAAGCATTTTGTGCTAATTAAAGATTATCAGACGCAGAAAAACCTTTCAAACTAAATACCATAAGACATTAACAGCAGTAAGTATCTGTTACAGGATCTTTTACTATTTCCAATCCACATGAATCCCGGAACCGTTGTAAGCAGGCAAAGCCAAAGGTGTCGCAATAGGTCTATAAATTTATGATCAAATATCAACGTAAAAACATTACAAAAGTAGTAAAAAACAATAGCAGACATGTAAACATACTAAAATCATAAATCCTAAAAAAAATTGTTGATAACTAAGCAGGATTGGCCATGAAAGCCATACAGCTTATTTCCAACTGTCCAATGCCATGAATGGGGTCCCTTTATGTTACACTCTTAAAATTATTAAATTAACTAAAAGTTATATAAAAAATCCTGACTTTGGCAGGTTTTATACTAATTATATTAAAATTATAATTGACGATGACATTGACTCGAATAATCAAGCAATTCAATTCAATAAAAATTTGTTATTAGCATGATTAAAATTTCTGGCTATAATACAGTATATTACATGTATACTGGAGTATTTGTTCCACCTTATGTTGTTGATTTGATATCGTGCCATCCCAAAGTCGTTACAAATGTAACCGGAGAGCATGAATTTCATTACAAAATTGCTTGTCTCCACCGGGACTCGAACCAGGGATCTCTCTGTTACAAGGCAGCGTGTATACCGACTGAGCTAAAGAAGTACTTCCTTAGCTCAACCGCTTACGGCTGACTAAGTATCTACCACATTTAATAAGGGAAGCAATCCCGTCACACTTCCCCCCCACCTCAAGAGTCATCATACCATTATGACTCTCACACACATTACCTTAGCTAGAATTCCTCTCCAACTACCGTGGGTTATTAAGTTGGGCACCAATGTAACCGGAGAGCATGAATTTCATTAAAAAATTGCTTGTCTCCACCGGGACTCGAACCCGGGACCTCGGTGTTACAAGGCAGCGTATATACCGACTGAGCTAAAGAAGTACTTCCCTAGCTCAGTCGGTATATGCGCTGCCTTGTAACACAGAGGTCCTGGGTTCAAGTCCCGGTGGACAAATTGCAAATGGTGGAGACAAAGTGATTTTGAAATATGAATCATGCTCTCCCGTTACACATACATGTACCAAGTGGATCTAGCCCATATTTGATATTAATTCAGCCCTATGAAAATAACTTCAATAATTCATTTGTTATATATATATTCCACTGCTATACGATAGCTACATGTATACATATGTATAAATGCCTAAAAGCCTAGTCAATGTAAAATTGTCAATTAATCATTTGTAATTAGCACTGTATTTTTATCTTTTATAAGTTCTGCTCAGGTCTGCCTTGTCCATATTGCTTGTATTTATTGCCATAAAAGAAATCATTGTATGAAATTTCAAACATGCAAAGGTCCATGATTGGTTAATAAATAATTTCTATTTCTATACACCATTACCAACTAAAATGTTTGCACCCTTTTATTTTCTTTCTTATTCACTCATTGCTTTTTTAGCAAACTTGACTGTGTTTTTGTCGAGTTCTTGAAAACTATAAAATTACAATGAGCGTGCATGCCATTTGACCTTCTTGATTAGTAGCTGTCCAAATATTTTTATTTGGGATTCATAAAACGTTCTGTGCTTGCTATATCGCAATAAACTGGTTCTACATAAATTTGGGGAGGGGAGGGTAATATATTTTTTGCATCTCATTTATATTCTTTTGTTTTTCATTCTTTCAAGTGATTGATTAGTCCCTTTTTATTGAATGTTGCTACAACTACCAATGGTTTATTTTCTACTGTATCTTTTAACAGGTCTGCTCCTGCTTGTATTTATTGTCTGCTTACATTGATTTAAAAACACATGAGAAGAATTCATTCTCTGAGAAATCAACAGAAAATCATGTCAATCTCATTTAGTTTTTTAAAAATTGAAATTTGTATCATGAATAGGAGCTGTTGATTTATTTTTATGGTTAACATGGTTAAACAAATTGATCAGTTGCCAATGTTATAAATTATGGTGGTGTGTTAGAGTATTTAGTGAAACATAAATTCACATTATTACTCCTATTGATCATGTTGATTTATATCATATTAGATAATATGTTTAAATATTTATAATTATGCTTCTGTTATTTTTTAATTTTTCAAAGTTAAATATTTTTGTGACCCATCAATCAATTAATTAATGAATTTCTATTGAAGGATAATTTTTAATCATTTTACTTTAGACCAATGGGAAAGAAGAAATGTTATAAGAATGGTATGCAACACAATGTCTGACATGACTGACAACCCAGGAATTGATATGTTCTCAAACAACAACTACCTGCCTGATATTGGACAGTTTAGTAACCAAGGAAACAATGGATACTTACAGAGATGTCGACTGCCAACAACCAATCAGGGAGCTCAATTCACCTTTGCTGTCCCAACCCGGGCCAGTTCATATACCTTAGGCCAAGTAGGCCACACCCACCAACCAAGAGGACTCTATTCTATCCCAATTAGTCAGCAGGGTATGGTGCCTGGATTTGGGGCTTCATGGCAACATTCAGTACCTAATCAGATGCCATGGACAGAAAATTGGACAGCACCCACTACTAACTTTGGAATAACTACATTTACAGCCATACCTACCATGTCTGTACCTTCATTTAGTATTTACAGGTATTGTCTTAAGGAATTAAAACTAGTACAGTTGCCTTCCTTACATGGTCTAATATTAATAGAATGTGGACTTTTAAGAAAGAGCTATTCATGGTATTACTGTGTAGAACCTCATGGTTGGAAGTTGGTGTGATCCACCTTTTCAACATGGCTAGAAATATCAAATTCAAAATGAAAAAGTACAAACTGTTGATTCTTGACTTTTAATATGACAAAAGGAAATGCTGGGTATACATGGTATATGTTAAAGAGATAGCAAACCAAATCAATCCTTAGCAATATTGAAATGAACAAAGTCTTTTTTTCTTTTATTCTAGACAATATTATTAAATTGTCAGAAAGACAGAATAGATTACTTGCAGATAAGCAGAAAGCAATAAAATTCAATGTATCTAAGATACTGAGCTAAAGCAAATATTATGCTGCATTATTTATAGTTTATAGGTTATGTAATTTAAAAGAATGTGAGGAAAGACAACTCAAATAAAGTTAAAGTTGCTTACAACAAGTATTGGTCATGGTAGTCCTTTAGAATCCTAAGACTTGTTATTTTTTATGGATGCATTCTGAATGTTGCCATGCATGGTTAACATGGGATCTATCAATATCAAGAGATTCAATATTTTATCTTACACTCTGGCATGTCTGATAGCATATACTGTAACAAGAGGCATAAACAACATGAACAACAAATATACTATTATACAATAGCTGAACAACAGAAATGTGCATGTTACAATCATGTACAAGCATGAGTATGATATCTATTGACACAGATTTTTCTTTATACCCTTTCAAGTTTATAATGTCCTTAACAAAAAAACAATGTGTGTATATTTGATGTTTTTTTTTATAGTAGTTACTATGTATATTCAAACATATTTTTATTCTGATTTTTATTGTAGTAGTATACCATCATGCAGTACCACACCAAATCGACCAAAACGTCGGCACTCAATAGATATAGAGTAAGTTCTTATTACAAGCGTCTGTAAAAAAAATGTTAAATTAGAAGTTGTGAATATGTCCATGCAAAAAACAGGATTGTCATAGGCCAAAAAAGTTGTTTAAACAAGCTTTTAACATGTAGATAAAACCTAGTGATATAATTTATTAGTGTGGTATGATGAAAAATAAGGATTTTTTTATCAGTTTATACTGATTTTGCTATTTTTGCAGTTAACATTTACATTGTCAGGAATTAAATTTTTGACATCAATAACTTTGTCAAACCTTCATGAAGTGTTACACAAGTTGGACAGATGCTTTTTCTAGTTAAAAAAAAACAGCATCTGAATGAAAAAGGTTCAATTTTAAAAACAAAACATTTCCATATTTTACTGACAAATGGATTTAATTTTTGGCAAAAAGTTTCTTTTGTTACCTATTCTGACATCGGAGTCGGACTTCTTTTAAACTGAGTTTTACTGTGCTTATTGCTATGAGTTTCTGTATTCTACATTGACTAGAGGTATAGGGGGAGGGTTGAGATCTCACAAAACATGTTTAACCCCGCCACATTTTTGCGCCTGTCCCAAGTCAGGAGCCTCTGGCCTTTGTAAGTCTTGTATGTTTTTTTAATTTTAGTTCATTTATATGTTTTGGAGTTTAGTATGACGTCCATTTTCACTGAACTAGTACACAATTTTATTTAGGGGCCAGCTGAGGACCACCTCTGGGTGCTGGATTTTCTCACTGCGTTGAAGACCCATTTGTGGCCTTCGGCTGTTGTCTACTCTTTGGTCGGGTTGTTGTCTCTTTGACATATTCCCCATTTCCATTCTCAATTTTTACATTTCATTTCAGAAAGGAAGCTCCAAATTCAAAATGTAGAGTTACAGCTGAGAAAATGGTTGCCAGAATGGAAGGGTTATCTCTAATGAATAATGGTTCCCCTAGTAGTTGTGAAAAAACAGAGTACCAGTTCCAACCAGCTCTAGACTATGACTTAACTGACATGGCTACATCCAGTACAACTTGTTCAACAATGTCTGGGGGATGGGAAAGATTCAGGGAAATAGAAAACAGGTCAAGAAAAGAAGCACTATTCTTTTTAATATTCTTTTGGGAGAGAACATCTGTTTTAATTCTCTCCAGATATCGTAAATTCAGAAATGTTTGCGTGCATTTATTATGGTGAATATTGAACAATTTAAAAAATGCAAGATCAATTATCGCGATTTCAAGAAATGCTGCTTACAAAAATTTTTATTTTCAGATTTTACTTTTTGTTTTACTCTTTCTTGTGACAATTATCACAATGATAAAAACATTGCAAAAATTTCTGAATTTACATTACCTACAAAAGGTAAAATTGATTTTCCCATTTATATGGAAACCACAATTTATATGATTGTATGATGAATAAATAAAGATCTTTCAAGAAACTTTTCATAAGTTTTTTTTTAAAGATAAAATTTAATGCAGCAATTACATGTATTTATATATACAATGAAGTTTGTTTTGTGAAATCGACTTTCAAGCATTTTCGGTTGTCCCATAAGGCAATGCCAAAAAGATTTTAATTGGGGTATAAAGTTTAAAAATTCAAACACAAAACCTCTACACACACTTGACAAAACCCAAAACAAAGGAACATCACTTATATTGCTGTTCTTTGTCTCAAAATTATTGTCAGGCCTTCTAACATCTGTTTTGAGATGACTTCTGTGCTACAAATGCTAGATGTCAATAATACTACATCTATGCATTAAGAATATTTATAAGAAGATGTGGTATGAGTGCCAATGATCCAAGTCACGATGTATAAAAAGTCAACAATTATAGGTCAAAGTACGGCCTTCAACACGGAGCCTTGCTTAAACCAAACAGCAAGCCATAAAGGGCCCCAAAATGACTAGTGTAAAAAAATTCAAACAGGAAAACCAACGGTCTAATCTATATAAACAAGAAATGAGAAACACCACACTCACAAACGACAACCACTGACCAACAGGCTCCTAATTAAGAACCCAGATCGTGCAGATGCTGGATAATGTAAACAAATTACAGATTGATATATGTCATCTTAATTCAAGTTGTTTTGTTTGTATTGATTTTATACATGTATTTATACTTTTAATTTTGCAAATTTCAGATTAAATTCAGAATCAGAAGACGATGATCTTCCAGATGATGATGGAGTGAAAGTTCATATAACAGAAAGTATAGCAAAAAATATCCTGGAGTCACAACCTCTTATACCACAGAAAATACTAGATAATTTGTAAGTCACAGGGTCACAACCTCCTCTTATACCACTGAAAACACTAGTAATTTGTAAGTCACAGTAAAGGGATCATTTTTAATCTGAAAAAAAAGTCTTTAAAGGGGCATTAGCTACGAGATATAAAAAAAAAATGAAATATGATTTGTTTTGTTCAATCATTAATGAAAGTAAAATAGTGAAATAATAATTTGCTTTTAACAGCCAGTTTGGTTCAATTTTGTCATAATAAGCTAAGAAACATTGATGATGAATTATTCACTTGCAATCCGTATTCATATGACCTTCAATTTAACCCCTTAGCTAGAAATGGATTACGCATGAATGAGGCGTGTTCAGTTATTAAAAGGAAAATAATGTCAACATTGAAAGTGAAACAAGGGTAAACCATTTGATTGTCTGATTCGATCAGCAAAATCTCATTCTTATACAGGTTAAAACGATGATAAACATAATTATATTTTTAACCTATAATATGAAATCAAACAGACCTAGAAAAAACCAATTGCTTGAGTTCGCTATCTATTTTTATGTTTAAATCGGGTAATATGACCGTCAGTACTCTTTGGAGGTCACCTCGATAGTTAATTAGAAGGCATCTAGACTAAAATACACATACAATGTTGATACATATTATCGAGCCCATGCATTGTAAATTGTTTATTTTAGACTTTTTATACGACCGCAAAAAAAATTTTGTGGTCGTATATTGGTATGACGTTGGCGTCGTCGTCGTCCGAAGACACATTAGTTTTTCGCACTCTAACTTTAGTTTAAGTGAATGGATCTCAATGAAATTTTACCATAAGGTTCAATACCACAAAAGGAAGGTGGGGATTGATTTTGGGGGTTATGGTACCAACAGTTAAGGAATTAGGGGCTAAAAAGGGGCCAAAAATAAGCATTTTTGTAACTTCCAGACATAACTTGTGTGTAAGTGTATGGATCTCTCTGACATTGTACCACAAGGTTCCATATCACAAAGGGAATGCTGGGATTGATTTTGGGGGTAATTGCCTCCAAATTTTAGGAATTAGGGGCTAAAAAGGGGCAAAAAACAAGCATTTTTCTAGTTTCATGACAATAACTTGTGTGTAAATGTATGGATCTCTCTGACATTGTACCACAAGGTTCCACATCACAAAGGGAATGCAGGGATTGATTTTGGGGGTAATTGCCTCCAAATTTTAGGAATTAGGGGCCAAAAAAGGGCAAAAAACAAGCATTTTTCTAGTTTCATGACAATAACTTGTGTGTTAGTGTATGGATCTCTCTGACATTGTACCACAAGGTTCCATATCACAAAGGGAATGCTGGGATTGATTTTGGGGGTAATTGCCTCCAAATTTTAGGAATTAGGGGCCAAAAAGGGGCAAAAAACAAGCATTTTTCTAGTTTCATGACAATAACTTGTGTGTAAGAGTATGGATTTTTATGAAATTGTACTACAAGGTTCCATATCACAAAGGGAAAGCTGGAATTGAGTTTGGGGATAACTGACCAAAAAGCTTAGGAAGAAGGGGCCAAAAAGGGGCCAAAAATAAGCATTTTTCTAGTTTCCAGACAATAATTTGTGTTCAAGTGTATGGATCTCTCTGAAATTGTACTGCAAGGTACCATACCACAAAGGGAAGGCTGGGGTTGAGTTTGGGGGTGGTGAATCATAAGGGGGTTCAAAAAATTTGGGGAGGGATTTTTTTTTCCTTTTTTTTCTTTAGAATTTTCCATTTTAAATTGGTTATTTCTGATTTATATATAGAAGCAAATAATAATGATATGGTTTGAATAGGTAAATTAAATTTTTTTAAGTTCTTAGACCACTTTCATTCTGTGTCAGAAACCTATGCTGTGTCAAATATTTAATTACAATCCAAATTCAGTGCTGTATCAAGCTTGAATGTTGTGTCCATACTTGCCCCAACTGTTCAGGGTTCGACCTCTGCGGTCGTATCAAGCTGCGCCCCAGCGAAGCATTTTATTGTTATTTGGATTTAGGTTTTAGTATGTTATACATCAAATATAAGAACTTGAGTCAAATCAGGGAACATGAATTTGACAGCTAATGCCCCTTTAAATATCAGAATGTACATGAAGTATTGCCAAATATAACCTGAAATCCTACTGTGTTTTACCACAAACATTTTTTTTTAAATAATTTGATGTAAAGTGCACTAGTGTTACAGTTAAACAAATAGCAGCCAAGAATCTCTAGAACCCCAAAAATTATTTCATTTGCAAGAAAAAAATTGTATGAATAGAAAGTGATGGCATATCTGTAAATAGAACAGCATAATTAGTCTCTTATCATTTACAGAAAGATATATGAACTGGAAATTTACAACTAGAAATAAATATATTAAAATCATGCAAATACCAAAGCAATGGCTTTTGGGTATATGGTATCCTCATTACTTCACAAATAGAGGTCTATTCTAAAAATAAATATACAGGTACATACCAATGTAAAATATAGAGTTTTATTTTTACTTTTTAACAGCTAAATACTAAGTTTTGTCATTGAAATATATATGATTCAAACATTGTCTCGTTCCATAAACCAAATGGTTATAATTTAATGATTTGCAGTCACAAGCCGTGTATGGAGGTTGTGCTATGGAAGAGTCCTGGTGGTTTTACTACAGAATCTGTAATCAAAGAAACATCTAGTACACCAGTCACAACATCATCACATCAATCATTATTGTCACCACCTCTTCAGATTAGGTATGTTAAGTAATACATTTTCCACAAGACATTACCTAGAAAAAAAGACTGAGCAACAGGAAACCCAACAAATATTGGGGAATATCAGGTGCGTCAGAGAGAGTAAACAGATCCTGCGGCACTAGTGGCACCCATCAAGATGCCTGTGTTAAGTACAAATTGGGTAATTAGTCTCATTTGGTGATGTCACAATAGAGGAAAAAAGGACAGGATTGTGATTATGACAATTGGAAATAATCTGTGGTCATCTGTGATATAGATATTCCGTAACTCAAAATTTGGATTATGTCAGGATATTAATTTTTTGCTTAGTGCAAAGCTTACCTTTTCTTTGGTTAATTTATGGGGGTTATATACTTAAGATCACTAAAGCAGGAATAATAACATAGTAGAATAGCAATCAGTTGATTTGTATATAAGTTTCCTGAATGTCCACTGATCATCAAGTAACAAAATGATCATTGGAGCATAGTTTCCAAAGTTTTCTCTACATAATATTTTATTACACATGTACTAGAAACTGAAAAATACCAGTATTTATAACACTGTCACCAAAAGAACCCAATATTTACAAAAAACTACTGAAAAATTGTGATTTAAGTTTCAAAATTTATATATCTGTCTTGTTTTGGATTTTTTAGCTTATAAGGTTCATGACAAATGTCTTTTATTTTTATAGTGTAGATAGCAATTCATCAAAAGATATGGAAGCAGAAAGTAGTTTGGAAACATATGACGATTATATGGACTTGTGAAACATGTCTAGTCTTTAGTGACTGCAATCAACAGCTGACTTATTTTACCCTTATTAGATAGAAAAACCTTAACATACTGAGGATTCTTTAATATTCGTGGGATACTAATTTTTGAGGATTTCGTGGGTACACGTGAACCCCAATTATTGTTCAACGATTTACAAATTTTCTATTGCGTTGTATGCAGACTTTGGCAAAACCATGAAATCAAATATCCAAGAAAATGCAAGATTTCCTCAATCCATGGAAATTAGTACCTTATAAAATTACTGAATCCACAGTATTGGAATTATAATACTACTGTAGGTCATAGTTCATTTTGAGCAGGGACAGATTCAGATTTTATTGAAAGGGGTCGTAAGAGTGTCAAATGTTGAAAATAGCTTTGACCCTCTACACCCCCAACTGATTCCTACACTCGTAAGGGAATTGTTCTCGACAAGAAAAATCTTGCCATACACACAGGATGGCAGTGAAAACTTGTTTAATGAGTTATTCCAAAACAGTAACTAGAAGAAATAATCAGACATATGTAGGAAACCAAATGTTAATGGCAAGAACTGCTCCCTTACTTGTTGGGATGAACTCAATGATAGATATCAAAGAAATTTAATAAGACCAAATGAATACTTTATGTTTTAAGGTTCTCTACAGAAAACTATTTTAAAAATTACTTATATAGGTAACTTTTGTAAAAAATATTTTTATATATGTAGGTGTCCATTCATACAGAGCTTTAACATATTTTCACAGACATCTGGTTATTTTTCCCATGAAATATAAAAACTAATCTTCCTGAAACACTAATTGCCTTTCTGACAGCCATGCTTCTGGGTCAAAGATTGGTCTCTTGGGACTATTGAAATATCATTTTCCTTAAAAATCTTGAAGGTAGACAGATATAAATAGATGGAAACTTGTGATTTGATGAAGACTTGGAGTTATTTATAATTTGTTACCCAAAAACAATTACATATGTTCCTTGAATAATTGTAATCACTCAGTCTTTCAAAGATGTATGGAATAACTTATACAAGTAATATTTTTGCCAGTATCTTTAAATAACCCATTACCTCTATAATCCTCTCAAATTTAATGAATTCTTAATTTTATGTAATAAAATGATGTAAAAATTCATAAAAAGTACATTTAGTCCATGCTTCTTTTGAAATTTAGAATAATTCCATGGAGTCATTTAATAATTTTTTGATACAAAAATGACCTATATAAGTAATGAAAAAAATCAACTTGTTTAAGGAACGCCCCTGACTGATAATACATGTATTTCACATCCACCCAAAGTTGCAATTTCAAATTGTCTTCCTTGTGTCCCATATATGTATTTATAGAACAGCCCTATTAGTGAATTGACAGTATTTTGTTATATATCATTTAGAACACCCTGAGGTATGACCATCAGTAGTGGTATTGTTCAGATATTTTAAGATGTTTATGTGTCAGAATATATACTTTGAGATAATTGAACAAAAGAACAATGTTTATAAATTTTATATTGATATGTATTAGTGTATATAGATGGTGGGCGGGCATTAAATATCATTAGTTGTGATAAGATATGAAATCAACATTGAATACCATAATCAAATTTCATACCTGTCTGCTCATTGATTATAAATTTACTATAGCATTTTGACTGGGGCTTTGCCAATGTTGTGATTTTATATTTTATCTGGCCACATTTTTAGCACAGAAAACAAATATTGTCATACAGCATGGATGCATTTGTGACATGATTCAAAAGCTTCAATACTGGCTTACACTGGTCACAATTAGCAATTAACAAATCAAAATTGTTTATTAATTTATGGCTTCCATTTCTTTACATAATTTAACTTTCATTCAGACAATAATGGCTGAATAAACTGACAGCTGATTGCCCCACACATACGCCTGTTGGTCATCAGGTCAACTGTCTATATGACCCTCTTTTGTAGCCAAAACCCCAGTTTTAAAAGATAATGTGTAGGTCCTGCTAATATCATCATAAAAATATTTTGATATCATAACATTCGTGAGTTTCAATCTTTTTGAAATTTCATTGCATCCCATTTCTTCACAGGAGAATTTTTTAATAGTCTTGCAAAATCTCTTATTTTACACTGTCCTTTCCATTTCGATAATATGTTTATAGCTAAAAGAAATCTTGCAGATAAGTTATACTACTTCCTTTGTTTTGAAACTCACTACCCCATAGTTATTAATATTTGGTGCTTTCCAACCCCTATACAAATTATTGTGGAATAGCCCTTATTCAAAAAGCATTTATACTAAAAGATATCCAGCCACGGTGTGAACAAATTATCATTTCAATAACAAGAAGTTTATCATATTTATCAAGGCTGTTAAAAAAGTACTGTTAATTCAGAAATTGTTGCCATGTTTTTTTTTAATTAGAAAAATGTGACAGTATCAGGCCTAGGTTCGCTTTAATAAAAACTTGCATTCATAACTTCAGTAGTGATTTTCCTTTATAAAATTTTCTGAATTTACAGTAAGGCTAACAAAAGTTATAAACTAGTAATAGAGCAACACTGTTATATATATAACAGCTTAGATCTTGATAAAACATTGTACTTAAACCAATTAATCAAAGATCTTTGAATATTGAACTTAATTCCCAAATATTACTGCATAAATTTCATCCTGATTGGCTCGACTTAAATACCTTATATTACTGGAACAATCTATTTTAAAAAAGGTAATTTAGTGACTCATAACTCAATTTTGGTCTGAAAGATACATGACCAAGGTAATTCCAGAAACTTGAGGGGAACAGGGAAAACTGTATTAAACTTTGTATAGGGTATTTTTTTTGCAAGTTTAGCTTGATTGACATCTTGCAGAGCACTTTAATAGTGAGAGTTTTTGCTCCATGTTGAAGACCTCACTATGACTCTTAGATATAACAGCAAAAAAAAGAGGGTCTGGATGGGATTTACAGAATGTAGAATAATAGGCCAATACTACATCAAAATGGGCTAAAAAATAAAGAATAGAGAAAAACAGGCCAAAAAAATAAAGAATACAGAATTTAGGACCCCCATGCAGACACTCATAAAAGCGCTGTTCTTTTACATTTGCTTTAAGTCTTTTCATGTGTATAAATTGGGGTGCTAAAATATAAAGACAAGAAAAATGGACAAAACTAATAAAGAATAGAGAAAAATAGCTTAAAAATTTAAAGAATACAGAATTTAGGACCCCCATGCAGACACTCATAAAAAGCCCTATTCTTTTAAATTTGCTTTTAGTCTTTTTATGTGCACCTAATGATTTTATATAATGAACTAATACACAGTGTCTTTTCTTTTTCCATTAAACTTTGTTGTATAATTATGATCATTTTGTCATATTTCTTAGACTATAGAAATCACTAGTCATTTAAGTCATGCACTTTCAAGTGAAATTAATATCCTCATAAATTATAAGGAACAACCAGTTCAAGTAACCAGACCCATTTGTAAATGAAACATGACTTTTCATTGTTTAGAAATGTTTTATTGTTGTACAGCAATAAGAAAATGAAAATAAAAGATATTTAAAGTAAGCAGTTTTGTTATTGAATTTTTAGATTTGTATAATTTATATCTTGATTGAGTTAAATTAGGATTCAGAGTAGTGCTGAATGATCTTTAATGAAAGGTATACATTTAGTACACATTTACATGTAAGTATAGAAATTGTGTATTTAGAAGGTGTAAAATACTTTTTGAAACAATACTGTGTATTCATAGTTATTGGTTTGGCAAGAATTTACCTGGATTTTGTGGTTAGACCTAATGTACAAATTTAGATATTATATGAAGTACAAAAAAAAATGTATAAAAATGTCATACAGGCTTATGTGGAAAACCACACAATCAAGAATCCACAAACAATTTTTTTCATCAATCCATGAAAACTGGTACCCTTAAAAAATAAATGTATCCACAGAACCTTGCATTACAATATTACTTTATGAATTTCATGCGTCTACAGCTGTTTTCTTGATTTACATTCATCAGGAATGCTCAAACCCATACATTTAAAAGTCAGAGATGTTTAAATACTTAGAAACATGTGGAGATAAATAATTAAAAGTGACTAAAAAGAATAGCAAAAGAGAGGTGAAAGATACGAAAGGGAGATTCAAACTCAAAAGTCCAAATAAACTGACAATGACATGACTAAAAAAGAAAATGACCAACAGATAAACAACAGTACAAAAAAATACATTATTGAAATCTAAAGAGTGAGCAACACCAACCTCAACAAGAACGGGGGGTGATCTCAGGTACTCTGAAATGGTAAGAAAATCCTGCTCCACATGTGACACCCATCATGTTACTCCTATAAAATATGTTGGTTCGAAGGCATCATGTAATAGCGGATTGGTAATTGACTCTTTATCTAACCCTTAGACATCACCAAATTCATAATTAAAGATTCATCTAAGGTCAACTTGTCTGAGGGAGTTGGAGCCTTAAGTTTCCTATTAATTTCTTAAATTATCAACAGAATGTTTTGAAAAAATGTGATATAAATAATGTCAGTACTGGAGCCCATACTCCTGAGCTGACAATACCTGTGTTTAATGTTTATGTCATCTGCATTTGAGCTAATGGGATTTGTTTTTTTTAAATATCTTATTTAATATATTGAGTATGCAGTAGTTGAGTTTGAATATTATTATGATCTATTTAATTGCATACAGATTTTTGTCATCAGAGTAAATATTTTTATAACTTCATAAAAACTAAAGGTGTTGTGTAATTTATGTTCCTGTTTTTTGTAACTACAGAAATGGTGGTATTAAAATACAACTTTCCAGAATCTTGAGTAGATGCCATGGATTGCATCAATATACCAACCATCCTTTGGTCCTATGAAGTTCAATACTTGATATGTTTTAAAAGATACAAATCGTCATTTAAGGGCAATAACTCCTATAAGACATATACCAACTATCCATTGGTACTATCAATCTCAAATCTTGATATATTTTGTGATGAAGCAATATTAATATAAACAACTGCATTATTGGAACAATCCTGCAGTTGACTGGACCATATCTCCTGAACAAAAAAATGGAAAACAGTCAGAGTGAGTATTACAAACTTGACCTCAATTATGACATTAGTAAGTAACAACTGGTTAAGTCTGAAAATTATTCGTTGAACAGTTCCTAAGTCATTGCACTGAAACAAATGGAGCTGGCCAACCCTAAATCAATAATATGATTTCGGTAAAAAAAAAACAGGTTAAAAAATAACTCACCTAGGTGTATATGAATCTTCAATAATGGACACTCTTAAACATTGTACAATAGAATATAATTCATGATTAAAATCTTTTTTTTTGTTGAACCTGTATTGCTATCATTTAATTCTGTTCACAGTATCTATCTTCTATAGTTTTTTCACAAAACTTAAAACTGGATGATAATCGTCATATAGGTTGCTCTTCTGTAAATATAGACAATGCAATTTCCCATAGGAACTCCCTTTGCGGCTAAAACTCTGCCACTTTTACTATGAAGTTTCCTAAAAAATTATATCCTAGAATGGAAAGTTGATATGCAGTACTATTTTATTCAAAGGTCAAAATATAGGGCTGTGTGGCCTTTTTCAACATTTATATGCCCCTAAGAGTTTAAACTTATAATAAAATTCTGTACTACCCCTCCCTTTACTTTAGGTCTTCCTCAGAATTCAATTTTTGCCGCTACCATGTGCTTTTATTCTGGTAACATTCCCAAGTTATGTCTCTATGAGATGAAACATAGAGATCATATCTGGGAACCAGTATGTAAACAAAACAAAATAACTATGAATATTATATATCTCCCCAATAGAGGCGTGGTTTGTGAAACAGCTGTATTTACAAAGTGCAACCTTTAAGGGCATTTACTCATATAAGAAGACACAACTGAGAATTTCATCTGCAGATCTTGTCTAAGTAATTAATATACCAACCATCTTTTGGTCCTATGAAGCTCAAAACTTGATATATATTGTGATGAATTGTCTCATCTTCAAAGTCAGCACCTCATTTTAGTAGAATTTCTTCTTTTTGTTGTCTTTATACAACCTAGTCCTGACCATATTTTTTTTCTAACGACAAACTTGATATTTTGTATAGAGGTGTAAAAGCACAAGATGGTGTGTTGCGTCTTATCAAGATCTTCATGGGACATTTTTTTGTTCAGGTCACAACTTTCTTTTATCTTGGACATAAGCTTTCTTATTTCGCACATGAGTGCATCACATCAAGTTCAAATGTGTCGCATACCATTAAAGATTATCTGTGAGCTTGATCTCAAATGCATTTTTTTGGATTTTGTGGGGACATTTCATGTTCTGGTCACAACATTTATCTTTTGGCTTGTAGATGACAACTTAACCATAACTCCTGAACAGCAAAAATTAAAATCATCCAATATGGAAATTGACCATTACCACCAGTAACAACATATTAACAACATAGTAAAGTGTGAAAAAAACATTGGGAGAACAGTTGTCAACTTATTCCATCTGACTTAAAATGCCCTTTACCAATCAACCAAGTCCAGAACAGTAAAAAGTCAAAATAAACTTGACTTCCATCTTGTTATTAGTAACATCTATACAACTTAAAATGCACTTTTCCAATCAATCAAGTCCAGAACAGTAAAAAGTCAAAATAAAACTTGATTTCTATCTTTTGTTTGTAACATCGATACAACTTAAAATGACCTTTACCAATCAATCAAGTCCAGAGCAGTAAAAAGTCAAAATAAACTTGACTTTCATCTTGTTATTAGTAACAACATATTAAAATTTGAAAATTTTAGCATTGGTTTCCTACTTCTCAAATTATTGAATAGAAACAATATAAACAGCCATTATCCAGACAAACAAGGACCATAACTCCTGAACTGAAAAAATGAAAATCCTCAAATTTGAATCAGTAACAACATACTATGTCTGAAAATCATTGGTTAAACAGTTTATAAGTTATTGCACTGAAAAAACCAGGTTACCTAAATCTTTGTGTATCTTCCAACAACGGACACTCAACATTGTAGACTAAAATACAATATAGGACTATAATCTCTTTTTTGTTGAACTTGTATTGCTGATCATTTTTCTGTTTACAGTTTCTCTCTGTCTTCGATAGATTTTCCCCAAAAACCAAAAAATTAGTAAAAATTGTGATTTAGGGGCATTAACTCCTATAAAGAGTTGACCATCAATTTCAGCAATATCCACTTATTTGTAGATCTTGACTTGTGTATAATTTTGCCATTTAAAGTTTCTTTCTTTCCATTATAAATTCAAAATAATAGGCAATAACACAAAAATAGTACAAATTGTCATTCAAGGCCTAGGGCAATAACTCCAATAAAGAGTGGTTTGATGATTTAGGCAATGTTTACTTATTTGTAGATCTTGTCTTGCTGATCTTTGTTGCCATTTAAACTTCTACCTATCTATTATAGTTTTTAAGATGATAGGCAAAAACGCAAAAAAAATTGGTAAAAACATTTTCAGTAATATTTACATATTTTTAGATTGTGCATTCCCGATCATTTTGGCTTGTTTACAAAGATTCTATCTATGAAAGTTTTCAAGATTATTGGTAAAAACGCATTAAAGAGAAATAACTCCTATAAGAAGTCGAATGACAATTTTTGGCCATGTTTATCTGTTTTGTAGATCTTGTCTTGCAGATCATATTTGCTTTTAAAGTTTCTGTCTACATGTATCTATTATAGTACTAGTGTTCAAGATATCTGGTAAAATTTTTTTAAAAATTGTTAAAATTTGTCATCTAAAGCCAATAACTCCTATAAGACATGTAAGAAGTCATCCAACAGTTTTGATGTTAATGTACAGAATTTAGATCTCAACAGTCTGAACATTTTTGCACTGTCAGATTTTCTCTATAACTATCTATATAGTTGTTTTCGAGATTACAGTCAAAGATTGCGTTTTTCCCTTAGGTTTTATTTTTCTTCCATGTCTGCCATGTTAGTTGAAATTTTCATCAGAGATGAAAGGCAGGTTGATCGAAGATGTTTATAAACAGTACAGGGAAATCAGAGTTCTTCAAGAGTCTAATCCTTTAAGACAGATTATCAATGAAAATAACACTCCCAGAAAATCTTTGATACAAAACAAATCAATATAGAATCTGTATTTTATTAATAGTAAATTTCTTGTAATTACTGAAGCAGCTGTAAGTTCTCATAGCAAGTTACATTATTGCAGGTCACATACGCACACTCTCTGGATTACCGATAAATATTGATTTATAATCATTTCTTATATATAGTATACATATACTTCTTACATATTAATTACTTTGGTAACATAGAGACATAACATCTTTAGAAGTTCATTGTTTTTGTCATCACAATATTTGGTTTTTTATGTGAAAGTTTCATTCCATTATCACTGACTTGATCCATATTCTAAGTGATCAGTTTCCAGTCAAGGAGGACCATCTATGTGTGAATTATTGCTTTGTCATGATGGACCATCTATTTGTGAATCATTACTTTGTCTTGATGGGCCATCTATGTGTGAATCATCATTTTTTTTGGATGATTTTCTTTCATAGAAGTACAGTAATTCAAACATAACCTGAAACAGAAAATAATATATAAGCTTTTTTTAACAAAAATATAATGAAGTTTGCAGCTGAAAGATTAATATTCACTTTTGGCCAAATATGGCCTTGAATTTCAACTTTATCATAAAACATCGAAATGGCCATAAATTTGGTTTTTATACGACCGCAAAAAAAAAATTTTGTGGTCGTATATTGGTATGACGTTGGCGTTGTCGTCCGAAGACACATTGGTTTTCGCACTCTAACTTTAGTTTAAGTGAATGGATCTCTATAAAATTTTACCATAAGGTTCAATACCACAAAAGGAAGGTTGGGATTGATTTTGGGGGTTATGGTACCAACAGTTAAGGTATTAGGGGCCAAAAAACAAGCATTTTTCTAGTTTCCAGACAATAACTTGTGTTCAAGTGTATGGATCTCTCTGAAATTGTACTGCAAGGTACCATACCACAAAAATAAGGCTGGGATTGAGTTTGGGGGTGATGAATCATAAGGGGGTTCAAAAAATTTGGGGGGGATTTTTTTTTCCTCTTTTTTTCTTTAAAATTTTCCATTTTAATTTGATTATTTCTGATTTATATATAAAAGCAAATAATAATGATATGGTTTGAATAGGTAAATTAAAAATTTTTAAGTTCTTAGACCACATTCATTCTGTGTCAGAAACCTATGCTGTGTCAAATATTTTATCACAATCCAAATTCAGTGCTGTATCAAGCTTGAATGTTGTGTCCATACTTGCCCCAACTGTTCAGGGTTCGACCTTTGCGGTTGTATCAAGCTCACCCAGCGGAGCATTTTATTAAATTGATATATTTCAAAAGACTTAATGCTCGATAAAACAAATATTTCCATAAAAGTACATCATAAGCTCCAAGACAACATTTTGGATATATCGTTAAATAAATGGGGAATGCTGCCCCTGCTTGCACATAACATCATAAAGGGACATAACTCAAGAACATTAAAAGTGACGCTACCCAAATTCTTACTTCATCTGAGTTTTGTGGTAATAAGCATTGTGTATAAGTTTCATAACATTTGGTTGAGGCAAACTTAAGTTAGAGAATGGAAACGAAAAACTCAGCAATTTTTCTATTTGTAAAGGGCACAACTCTCGAAATGTAAGAGTGAGGCCAACTAAATTCAAATTTGATCTTTGTTTTGTGGTAAAAAGCTTTGTGTATAAGTTTCACAACATTTGGTTGATGCAAACTAAAGTAAGAGAACGGAAACCAATTTCAGGCCGTACGGACGTACAGATGACCAAGTGGCAAAACTTAATTCCCCCTCCGCTATGGCGGGGGCATATAAAAATTGTTTTGTGCATTTTTTGGACCTAAAAGCTTGAGGAAAACATTAGCCACAACCTACGATCAAAAATGTTCTTTAACCAAAAGGTACCAATCATTATGTATCCCTGGACACAAACATTTTCTTGATCAAAAATGAGACTACAGTAAATTATGGAGTAATTGGACCAAAACTGATGTTAGAACACAAATATGCATATTTAAGGGGTCATTATTTCGTTATTAATAATATGATGTGCCAAAAAGAAGTGAAATTTGTTGTATTTTGACCTGATTTAAAGACCATTAAAATCTTAGGGCCAATTTTAATCCTTCGTGAACCTACTCCTTTGAAATAACATTTTCATGAATAACTTTGCTTTCAATAGATGATGAATATGTATAAATTTAATTTTACAATAATGGAAAAGTTAAGATAGGTAGATGTGCCTGTTTTCGCTGTATATAGCATATGAATAACATAGGTTAAAGATGTTGTTGGATTTTTCTGGGGAAATATATGGGGGAAAAAAATGTTAAAACTGTTAAACAGTCTGGGGAATTACTAAAATAAGTGATGCATAAATCACTCATTTAAGTAGCAAATTAGAAATTCTGTGATTTTGTAATTTTACCATAATTTTAAACATACCGGTCTAGATTATATCTTATTATTAGTAAAAATGAAAAAAATGAACCTTCTGCTTCTTTTAAGAAGCAAGGTTTATGCCTTTGATGCAATCATTCAGCTGTAAATTCTATATTTGTTGAAAACAATGCTATAACTAAGGCTTTACATAATGAACTAATACTTTCTTCACAGATTTTTCCCATCAGTGGGAGTATTTTTCCTGTAAAATTCAAGGTTTCATCTGAAAGATTATGTAATAAAATTTTACTGTTCGCAATCAAAATATTACTGTTCGGGGTGTTTAAATTAGAAGGGGTAATTAAAATAGTATACTTGAAAGAAGTGATTTTTTGGAAGAAAATATAGGTATGATACTTAAACAAGTGATTTTCATGTCATTATCCCACAGTGTCCCAGTTTCAGCAAAAGTCATCATCTGACATGACTGGACATCCTATAAACACAGATGTTGGTTTTGATAATTTTAGCAACATAATTAGTCCCTGGATCATTAGTATTATATATTTAAAGCTACAATAACATTAAATCACTTAGTCTGGTGATTTATTTGTACTATTTAAATAAATGATTATTAAAGAAAGACAACATTTCTGGAAAGATGTTACTTGAATCAGTGATTTAAGAAATCACCCATTTAAGTAATTCCCCTGACTGTTAAAAGATTGCCAAAAATTTATTACATATTTAGAAAGTGGAATTGGCAGACAAAAAACATAAGGGTGTTTACATTTATTAAATTAACCAATACCTCTATCATAATAAGAAGAATGATAATCCTTTCCAATCTCTCTGTCCTGCTATCAGCTGCGTTTTTATCAACAACTTCTATCACTTGTTCACAATAATTCAATTTTTCATTCATTACCTGAAAGACAATTATATCATGAATTTATTTCCCTTTTATGTAAATAAAAGAAAGTGTGCGGTATACATCAATGAGACAGCAACCCAAAGTCAGAAAAAAAATAAAATCTTGAGCTGAACCAATCTTCATTTTGGAATTTTTGCACTTAATAGATGAAATATTTATTTTTAACACATGATGTTTTCTGTATGATACAAATAAACTTTTAACAGATGACAAACTTAAAATGTCTTGCCTGCCACAAAATCTGAATTATTCTAAAGGTCAATGAACTTTGAAAATTGAGGTCAAAGTTAATTGCAACGTATCAGATAACTGATAATAAATTCACATACAAACATTGTAGATACCATAATGTAACCCTGCATCATCACTCTCCAATGGGGATTCCGCCTCTATAATTGGTTGTTTCAGAATCTTAAGGATTATGGGTAATTTTAATTTTCATACCCCCTAAAAGAAAATAGCGTCATGTCATTGGTTGAATTTCCATCATTTTGGGACGTTTTTAACCAATCACAACCTTTTGATGCACACTTTTGAAAATATTACCCAGAATGCATTAGATTCTGAAACGAGGAATTGAGCTAATTTTCAGTAATCACTCACCTTAGTTCTCCTACCTATATCTAAATGGTTATATAAATGTTTATACAATGTTTCTAATGCATGGTGCTTCTCCCAGTAAAAGTCTGGTGTATTTAACAACTCTGAGTTTAAGTTCATCTGAAATCTAAAAAATAATAAACATTTGAATATTATTATGCTTCATCCAAATACTACATGAATACCAATTAGCTCTAACTTATTTTTCAATAAAAGTAGACCAATCAAAATAAGTCAATATGATAGTATTCTGTCTCTGTTAAGATTTCATTTATAGAAACATTAGCTACAAATTTTCAAAAGTTGAATCTGGTTCTTGCCTTTACCGGTTTTTTTTTCTGATCTAATCATAATGCACAATTTTTCCTCATTTTTACAGGTAAAAAGCTAAAGACAGTGTAATTTTTTAATATTTTTTTTATGAAAGATGTCAAATGTTTTTGCCTACCTCTGCTCCACAACATTCTTATGGATGAGTCAACTACCGCAAATACTGGATTTGCCCATTTAAATTAAAGGCATGAACTGTCTTTCTAGTCTTTTCGTTTACACATTTGTTTTATTGACATAAATGTATACATATTCATATTCAAAGTGTAACATTAAATATAGATAAAAAATTAAGAAGACGTGGTATGATGGCCAATGAGACAACTCTCCACAAGACCAAATGACACAAAAGTTAACAACTATAGGTCACTGCACAGCCTTCAACAATGGGCAAAACTCATACCATATACCGGGGTAGTAAGCTATAAGGTCTGTAATGTTTAAGCGCTATCACAGCATATGCCTACATGTATTTTGTTCTATTTTAATTATCTGTGTATTAAATTAGTAAAATACATGTGCAGTAATTTGTTAACTGTAGTAAAATACATGTGCAGTAATTTATTAATTGTAGTAAAATACATGTGCAGTAATTTATTAACTGTAGTAAAATACATGTGCAGTAATTTATTAACTATAGTAAAATACATGTGCAGTAATTTATTAACTGAAAGATCATCTCAAGCTCTTCCTTAGAATATATCTATATCTGTATATTTATCTTTATCTTTATTCTTCCCAAAAACTGATTTACAAAGGTTTAGAAATAATTTACATATTTCAATACATTTCAAATTTATTCGTTCAGTGTATGTTTACTTGTTTTTGTTAATATGTCTTTTTGATTGAGTGAAGCCATTTCAATTGATATTTTATCATGTGTTTATAGTTTGTCTTTCTATTTTATAATATTACACTACTATTTCAGGTTAGGGTGAAGGTTGGCGCCTGTTAAAACATTTAAACCCGCTGCATTTGTTTGCACCTGTCCTAAGTCAGGAGCCTGTTGTTCAGTGGATGTCGTTTGTTGGTGTGGTTCATAAGTGTTTCTTGTTTTTTATATAGATTAGACCGTTGGTTTTCCTGTTTGAATTGTTTTACACTAGTCATTTTGGGGCCCTTTATAGCTTGCTGTTCAGTGTGAGCCTAGGCTCCGTGTTGATGGCCGTTTTTTGACCTATTTTGACTTTTAACACATTGTGACTTGGATGGAGAATTGTCTCATTGGCACTCATACCACATCTTCTTATTTCTACATAAATAACATCCTTTGAAACAGTTCATGGGTGAGAAACAACATTACTTGCCTTAATTCAAATATTTCTCCATGCATTTTCAAAATTTCTCTTCTTTTACATGGAACTTTCTTTTCTAATTTAAGCACCTGAAACAAACATTACATTGACTTGCACTGCATTTAGAAGCTTATGATATTATCAATTAGATTAGCTCATGTGGTTGCTTTCTGAGCTACACAAATCTTTGGTAAGACTTAACAAGATTGTGTTGTCATGCTAAGCATACCTCAACTTAAATGTAAAGTACCTATATGAAAACAGGAAGTAGGTGTCTGACAAATTCATTCCAACTCATCACTGTCAAACTGCTGACCATATATAAAATCATTCTGTTTAGTAGTGTGTTGAGAAAAATTGAAAGTTCATTCAAAATATTGAAAAACTATCGGCAAACAGGAAGTAGGTGTCTGTCGGACATATATGAAAGGGCTCACACCTCACTCTTCACTATTAAGTTACTAACTAAATGTGAAGTTGTTCTGTTTAATTATATCTGAGAAAGGTGAGGCTAAAATACTTGTTGAACAGACAAATGTAAAGTAAATGCAGTATAGCACCATTCCAATTCTCTTCTATTACATATTTTATCAATAAATTAAAGATCACATCTGATTCACATGACTCAACTGAACATCAATCAGTAAATTATAGACAACACACTTCAATCTCTCAATGAGTATTACAAAAGTATTATATAATTTATAGTTCTGTCAGTCTTTTATAACTTTGGTTTGATTTACCCATCATTTTTCAATTACTTTATGCTTTCAACCTGATAGGGTAAAATTATGCATTTCAAATCAAGTTAATACTTTAACATCAGTATACTTTAAAACAATAATTTTCAAACCATCTATGAAAGTTATAACTTACTGTGGATTAATTTATTTTTATGGGTGCCAATTTTCATGGATTGAGAAAAACTTGTATTTAACTGGATATTAGATTTCTTGGTTTTGACAAAGTTTACTTTATTTATAAGACTAAATAATGGAGTAGGCCCAGTAAGACCCCTTTTTGGCCCCAAAATATAGCAGTTTTACAAAATTGTTAAAATGCAAATTTTTAGCTATTTATTGGAAAGAAGAATACTTCTGTTACATAAATATGGGCTGTTTTTGACAGTACAATGCACATGTATCGGGTACTAGCATCATTAAATCATGCTAAATTACTGAAATCTTTTTGGTTAATTTTTAGACGATTTCTGTCTGAAATGGAAGTGGCCGCATTTGTGTTCATTCTTAATATTTAAATGTTAGTTGTATTCGATGATAATACATAACATATATAAAGGTTGAGAATGAACACGGATGCGGCTACTTTCATTTTTGACAAAAACCATCTGAAAAGTGACATATTATGGCATATTTGATAGATTTTTCATATTTAAGCTTGAATTTGAGCGTCTTTAATGACTAAATCAGTTCAAATCTTTCACATAAACTAATTGAATCCACTGATGTAGACACTTAAATGTTTAAAAAGTGTTTAAAATCTTTCATCAGATGAACCTGAATTTTGAGGCCAAAATCGGCCCTTACGGGACCTACTATTTGTACTTTGTTGATCATTTACATTTATAGTTCACCTTTACCCACAAGAACCATGAAAATTGGTATCCGATGAATAATAATGAATAAACAGTACATCCTTCCAAAATTATGCAAAAAAATGTAAAATCAAGATATCTTTTAATTTGATGGAAGAAACCTTAAAACCATTAACTTCTGTTCTTACCTTATTTATTGGTTCTATAGAGTCAACAAGACTTTCTAAGGCTGATTCCCAAACTGCCAGTTTAACTGAGGAAAAAAAGATTGCATTATAAATTAAGGCAATTTTATTAAAAAATAAATGAACAACAAATTTGCATTCTAGGGAATTTCTTTTTAGTTTCCACAAAACAAGAATATGCATCACTATACTTTCAAATTAAAAGAACATTCAATAAATAAAATAAGAATGTGTCCATGGAACACAGATGCCCCCGATTGTAAATATACGTCAAATTCAGCAATTTTTTCCATTTATAAAGGAACATATATTAAACTCAAGGACAATGTTAATGACGTCAATAAAATTCTAGTTTGACCTGTGTTTGGTGGTAATAATATAAGCATTGTGTATAAGTTTCATAACATTTGGTTGAGGAAAACTAAAGTTAGAGTGTGGAAATGGCAAATGCCAATTTTTCAATTTATAAAGGGTCATTGGCACTCATTCCACATCTTCCTATATTTACATAACTACAGACGGTAAAAGTGACGCCACCCATATTTGTACTTGATCTGTGATTGGTGGTGTGCCACAGAGGGGGCATAAAAATATTAATACATAAAAAACCGGCATAATATTACAAAAGTGTCAAATAATTTTCTTTATTGTAATAGAATGTAAAACTGGCAGTTGAGATCACCCACTGTTTTTGCTCAGTCTATAGATTTTTATGGTGTTATGTAGATTGTTGTCTTTTCATTGTTTTTTGCCATGATTTTGTCTGTCTTTTTAGGACTTTTTTAGAATTTTTTTAATTCTCCTGTTGGTATCATCCACCTTTTATTGAGCACATGGGACCGGGGTTAATATTCCCTAAGGGATCATAGATTTATTCTTACGAGGAAGCTCCAAGCATGCTCGGAGGATGCTCGGAGCTTTTTTAGTAGGCTCTTCTCTGCAGTTTATGTGACAATAATTATCATGATCCATTAAGATGTCAATCAAATCTACACCACTTCTATAATAAGGAAAGTAGAGCATTATAGAGGAAGCTCAATTAACACCTGTGTAAACATCTGGTCTATTCAAATACATTTTGCATGAAATTTTACAAAACTATAAAATTATAAGATTAGAAATTCTTCAACAGTACTGCGTATTAATGCTTGGAAAGAAATCTCATGTCTCCACTAAAAGTGAAAGTCATATAAATATATAAATATTATATTTAATAATCACTCCTTTTTTATGATAAAAAATTCTCAAATTTTATAATTAGATGATATGATTTAAATATAGTAAATATTATATAATATGCTACACAAAAGTTATCAAGACACAAACAACAGTCAGGGGGCGATACTAAACAAGTTATTTTTTTTAGTTACTTATATTAACAGGTTTTTTTGTTTTTATAAATTATTTAATAAAAACTCAATAGTTATTTTAAATGTCAAAAGTGGACTAAATGTATACATAGTTTTTAAGAATTTTTATATCATTTCATTATGTAAAATTAAGTATTTATCCAACTTGAGATGAGTATTGAAAGGTAACTGTAAAAATAATGACAAAAATATTACTTTTATAAATTATTTCATACATCTTTGAAAAACTTAGTACTTACAATTATTTAAGGAACATATGTAATTGTTTTTGATAAAGATTACAAATTATAAATAACTTCAAGTCTTAATTAAATCACAAGGTTCTATCTATTTAGATTTGTCTATCTCTAAGATTTTAAGGGAAAGTGATATTTTGATAGCCCCAAGAGACCAATCTTTGACCAAGAAGTGTGGCATCAGAAAGGCAATTAGTGTTTCGGGAGGATTTAAATAGTTTTATATTGCATGGAAAAAATAACCAGATGTCTGTGAAAATTTGTTAAAGCTAGTAAAACCTGTATGAATGGACACCTATACAAATAATATTAACAGAATTTACTTATTCATGATATAGAAGTAATATTTTAAACAACCTCGTTTTCAACATAACTTGTATAGGTGATTTTGAAAATTACTTGTTCAAGAAATGCCCCTAACTAAACAATGGTAATATGTTTTATTTTTTTTTTTATATAAAATAGCAAACTTAGTTCTTTTATAGAAAATTATGGCTACTTTATGAAAATTTGAGGGGTAATACCACCATTGTTTTCCCTGTAGTACGCCTCTCTTTAATTGACTTTTTTTTTTTTAAATTGTGCTGATTTGGCTTTGTTTTAAATAAAAAAATACTTGGCATGAGTAAAGTTTTATCCTGTCCTGTACTTCAGTGAAAATCTAACATAAAATTGTTTTCCCCCTATCAGTCTTTGTTTAATTGGTATTTAAAAAAAAAAAGCATAGAATTTATCTATGATTTAAATAAAGAAATACTTGACAAGAGTAAAGTTTTTTCCTGTTCTGTACTATAGTATTAATACAACATAACTTTTCAGTACATATAAGAAAGTAAACATCACCAGAAGTAAACCAATCAAATTATCCCCCCCCCCCCCTTTTTTCCCGTTTTCAAGTTTTAGTAGCCATGTCCCCCTAAAATTACCAAAATATTTTATAGAACACCAAATATTTTTTTTGTATTGCTTTGAAACACCTAAGATACATCATGTCTCAAAAACACTTTTCTGCAATGAAATGGAGGGTCAATTTCCAACAACTGTCAAATTAAATGGAATATAAACAAAAATCAACACTTTTTTGCATGAAACTGAATGTACTATGTTTTGGTAGTATGGTTATAAATTAATAACCATAGTTTGTGTCTTTGATGACTTTTATATTTCATTTTATATAGTATAAATTTAAAATTTATTTATATTTTAAGTATAAAATTTGAGTATTTTTTTGTATTTTTGAAAAAGAATAATTATTAAGAAAATGAAAAACATTTTCTTTCTGTGAAGACTTGATATTTCTTTCCAAGCATTGTACAGTACTATTGCAGAATTTCTAATCTATTTTATAGTTTTGTAAAATTTCATGCAAAATGTATTTGAATAGACCAGATGTTTACACAGGTGTTAATTGAGCTTCCTCTATAATGCTCTACTTTCCTTATTATAGAAGTGGTGTAGATTTGATTGACATCTTAATGGATCATGATAATCATTGTCACATAAACTGCAGAGAAGAGCCTACTAAAAAAGCTCTGAGCATCCTCCGAGCATGCTTGGAGCTTCCTCATAAGAATAAATCTATGATCCCTAAGGCATATCCTAAGGTAGTGCACTACAACTGTGTAAAGTTTCAACAATATCCATCTCATCATTTTAGAGGAGTTGCACACATGAACAAATCAATCTGATTGAAATACACATCCTGGGTTCAAGCTGTGCTTACAAAGATCTAACAACACTCCATTTTACCTATTGTTCTGGTAATTATTACATCAGCCAATGAAATGTCAGCTTTTATATTTGTGAAAGTTTGTATTAACCAACAAGAACAGAGGATCCAGAAAGGTGACTTTTAAAAAGAAAGTAGTATGGAGCGTTTTCAGATCCTTGTAGGCAAAGCAAGGACATAGGATCAGTATTTTAATCAGATTGCTGAACAAATAAGATGACTAACAGACTGATTCCTATTATATACATATATCCCCCAAAACTTTGTTTGCCATTGGGAACAACAGTAAAATAGAATCTAATACATACAAGAGGATTGCTAACAATTGAACGCTTTATGCTGTAAATAACTTACCAGTCTGTGCTAAAGCATTAGAGAAGGCATATTTATGTGGATTTATGGTTTCTGTCACATCAATATGGTCCAAGTCTTGTATGAACAACACATCACCTTGTAAACAGGAGAAATTCCTGTAAATAAAACATCACTGTATAGACCTTAAATAAGCTGTGATTAATAAAAAAAAAAAAAAAAATATGGATCCCAGTAAGTGGAGGCTCATAAATACCTCCTTTCCACAAGTATTCTCGAATGAAGACAATTTAATTATAGTTCTACTCATTTCTTTTATTATCATGTACAGGTTGGAAAACTTCATCAGACCTGAACTAGCATAATAAAAATCTGGCTCAGCATGAAAGTCCAGTAGTACAAACAAGGTTTATGACCATTATTACTTAATCATGTCCTCAATGTGCATGTAACATTTGCCACTGGAAATTAAAGAGGGGAGAAAGATACAAAGTGGATATTCAAACTCATAAATCGAAAACAAACTGACAATGCCATGGCAAAAATCCCAAAACGACAAAAAGGCAAAAAAAAAATACATAAAACACAAACTAAAAACTGAGCAACACCAACTCCACCAAAAACCGGTGGTGATCTCAGGTGCTCCAGAAGGGTAAGCAAATCCTGCTCCCCATGTGGCACCTGTGGTGTTTATCGTGTACCAGTAGGTACATACCGGGTGAAAATTAACCATCTATTAATCAATCAATCTTACTTAGAAGAAGAGTACTCCATCCACTCCTCTTCTTCATAAATCTGGTCAAAACTGTATGGTTCATCAATATGCTTCTGTAAAAATGTTAATATTGCTCGTCTCTGAAAATAAAAAAAATAATATACATGTAATATAATACATAAAATAAATTTGTCCATTTTTTCTATTTAAAATAATTCAGTAAAGAAACAGTATGAGAAGCATCTGAATACAAAAGATACCCGAGTCCTTTGAAAATAAGAAAGTTTTAATACTACTTTTAAGCTTTTTTTCCAGGCCTCAAACACCAAAAAGAGCAATTCAAGGTTTCTACCAATGCAAACTTTTGAAGGGGTGTATGTTACCATTTATTTCTTACTAAAATCTATAATACTTAAAAAATGAATTTGCCAAATTTTCCTGTTGTTCTGGTATTAGCATATCTATTCTTGCAGGCATAAACTACAATGCAATACTTGGAATGTCAAATTTTCCCAACCATCATGACCATAGAAATATCACAAATACTCATACTAGCTAGGTACTTAGTAAAGATACATCCAGTTATGTATGAGGGTCTGGATGGTGGGTCCTCCATTTCTATATTCTTTACTTTTTGCACACTATTCTCTATTCTGTAAACCACATCCAGACCCTCAATAACCAATAATTACTGACAATTTACAAATTCCAGCCTCTTTTCAATAAACTTTTATAATATCAATAGTGTTGTCTCAATTTTTCCGGACCCAGTTTAATAAATAGGCTTGTAGGAAAATTCAAACATGCAAAATATTGATTGATTTGTGAAAAGTGCATTCAAATTTTTACCTTCTCTGAAACCTGAGAAATGGTTTTGTATCGGAAACATGAAATCTAATTATGAGTTTGGATTAAAAGATTTTTTAGAGGTAGAGAGAGAAGCTTCCAGTGTGTTACATTGATTTTGTCTTTTCTACAAACATATCTGCGACAGCTGCTTAACAACAGTAAGTTGGGAGTAATTTTAGGTTTTACTGCACTTCAACATTTGAAATTCACTGATTTCAAATATCAGTGATGCAAAATAAATTTTAAAATTTAATTTCATCAAATTAATTATGGTATCTTGTAGTTTTATTCGATACTCGACATGCACAAACAATAAAAGGTACTCTGCCTATGACAAAATGTAACTAAACACTTATTGTTTCAAATGTTACCTCCAGTTCAGGTACATTCCAACATACCATGGATCCTTCCCTGAAAAATAAGTACTGCTGTATTCAACACTCATTACTAGTTTAGTCCCCATCTCATTTAGAGTTGGAAAATTTGAAATATTGTATAGGCATTCAATTTTTGATATAGACTGTATGTTAACCTTTAGATGTCATTGGGCTATTTCTGATTGATTAATTTTTGGTGTTTTAACGCAATTTTCAGCACTATTGGCTATTTCTTGGCAGTTTTTGGCGGAGGAAGCTGAAGTGCACCTTAGAGATCCACGACCTTCGGCAGGAAAAGTGGCAGTCCTAGTCATTTAAAATTGGAGCCGAGCTCACCTGTCATGTTGTCAGTGTTGACGGGCTTGTGGTACAGTAGATGAACTTCTTAGACCACTCAGCCACCAAAGCCCTGGTTATTTCTGTCACTGGGCTTCTGTATTCACGAATTTCATGTTACGTATATTTTTACAAAAATAAGTACAGCAGGCGAAAACATTGCAGCTTACATGTATATAAATAAAAGAAGTTCCAATGTCCCTTGCGTTGCACATTTTTTATATTTCCAAGGGGCAAGACTCTTTTAAAAAAAGTCGATCTGCAACCATTACAAAACTTGTCCGTGATATTGCTGATATTAACTTATAGTATAAGTTTTATAAAAATCTGGCAAGAATTGTACCCATGAGAGCGCTAACAAGGTATCAGATATTTTATATACACTATCCAAAATTTTGTTCCATTATACAGTGTTTATTGAAAAAAACATGCCATTTATAAATATCATTTTGAATTTCAGTAGCATACATTGTATATCCTTAATTCACATATCGAAAAATATCTTTTGACAGATAATCACCTAAATATGAAAACTTCTTTTGTACGATCAGCTTCTCCTATAACATATTTTGATGTAAGATGCAATAAATCTTCCATGTCTGAAAAAAAGGTAAAACATACATGTGTGTGTAAAACATGATAAACATGATAAAGGAAAACATATTATTTTTTACATTTTTATTAACATTTCTCCCTACAGATATTTGAGTTTCAATGTTGTCACAATATTATTTTTTCTTGTTTACTATTTATATATTTTTTATTGAAATACAGAAGGCGGAAGGTGGAAGCAGGTCTAGTAACCGCTCGACTCCGTCTGTTCATCTGAAAAATTTTGTCATCTTTTTTTGTTTCTATGAAAGGGAATGATCTAATATAGTTTTCAAAATAATAGATAATAAAATGCTCCGCTGGGGCGCAGCTTGATACGACCGCAGAGGTCGAACCCTGAACAGTTGGGGCAAGTATGGACACAACATTCAAGCTTGATACAGCACTGAATTTGGATTGTAATTAAATATTTGACACAGCATAGGTTTCTGACACAGAATGAAAGTGGTCTAAGAACTTAAAAATTTTTAATTTACCTATTCAAATCATATCATTATTATTTGCTTTTATATATAAATCAGAAATAACCAATTCAAAATGGAAAATTTTGAAGAAAAAAAGGAAAAATAAATCCCCCCCTAAATTTTTTGAACCCCCTTATGATTCATCACCCCCAAACTCAATCCCAGCCTTCCCTTTGTGGTATGGTACCTTGTAGTACAATTTCAGAGAGATCCATACACTTGAACACAAGTTATTGTCTGGAAACTAGAAAAATGCTTGGTTTTTTGGCCCCTTTTTGGCCCCAAATTCCTAAACGTTTAGGGCAATTAACCGCAAACTCAAACCCAGCTTTCCCTTTGTGATATGGAACCTTGCAGTACAATTTCATAAAGATCCATACACTTACACACAAGTTATTGTCCTGAAACTAGAAAAATGCTTGTTTTTTTGCCCTTTTATGACCCCTAATTACTAAAATTTTGAGGGAATTACCCCCAAAATCAATCCCAGCCTTCCCTTTGTGGTATGGTACCTTGCAGTACAATTTCAGAGATATCCATACACTTGAACACAAGTAATTGTCTGGGAACTAGAAAAATGCTTATTTTTGGCCCCTTTTTGGCCCCTTATTCCTAAACTTTTTGGGCAATTACCCCAAAACTCAATTCCAGCTTTCCCTTTGTGATATGGAACCTTGTTGTACAATTTCATAGAGATCCATACACTTACACACAAGTTATTGTCATGAAACTAGAAAAATGCTTGTTTTTTGCCCCTTTTTGGCCCCTAATTCCTAAAATTTAGAGGCAATTACCCCCAAACTCAATCCCAGCATTCCCTTAGTGTTATTGAACCTAGTGATACAATGTCAGAGAGATCCATACACTTACACACAAGTTATTGTCATGAAACAAGAAAAATGCTTGTTTTTTGCCCCTAATTCCTAAAATTTGGAGGCAATTACCCCAAAAATCAATCCCAGCATTCCCTTTGAGATATGAAACATTGTGGTACAATGTCAGAGAGATCCATACACTTACACACAAGTTATGTCTGGAAGTTACAAAAATGCTTATTTTTGGCCCCTTTTTGGCCCCTAATTCCTTAACTGTTGGTACCATAACCCCCAAAATCAATCCCCACCTTCATTTTGTGGTATTGAACCTTATGGTAAAATTTCATTGAGATCCATTCACTTAAAAACTAAAGTTAGAGTGCGAAAACTAATGTGTCTTTGGACAACGACGACGAAGCCGGACGACGACGACGACAACGACGCCAACGTCATACCAATATACGACCACAAAAATTTGTTTGCGGTCGTATAAAAATGCAATAAACTTGTAAAAATTGAGATTAAAGGGCAATAACTCAAATAAGGAGTTGACTGACTATTTTCATTGACTTATTTATAGATCTTGTCTTGCTGATCATATTTGCTATTATCATGATAATATTGTCTCTCTATCTATTGTTGTTTTTAAGATAATAGACAAAAATGAAAAAAATAAATGGAGAATGTGCCCATGGTACACAGACTATGCACCGCTTGCATATAACGTTATAAAGGGACATAACTCAAGAACGGTAAAAGTGACCCAACCCAAATCTACCTTGATCAGTTGTAATAAGCATTGTGTATAAGTTTCATAACATTTTGTTGAGGCGAACTAAGGTTAGAGAACGGAAACCAATTTTGGGATGCACAGACTTACGTACAGACGGACATACAGACGAACAAGGGTAACACTTAATGCCCCCTCCACTGCGGTCGGGACATAAAAATGTAAAATTTATCATTTAAGGGCAATAACTCCTATAAGAAGTTGTCTGACAGTTTTGGTGTAACACGACAAAAGTTCTCAACATTTTAAAAAAATTTGGCCTATCAGATTTTCTCTATCTAAGTGCAGAGCTTCAGGTAGGAATTTATACATTGGGGTTTTTACCCATAATTTTTTTTTGTAATGGAGTGAAATATTTTTCAGTTTACATCATCAATTCCAATTCACTTCTCAGACAAAGATAGAATTGGGGTTTTCACTAACAAGCTCCTGAATAATTTGGGTTTTACACCACAACATTCCTGAAAGTATACTGTTTTTTTCATCACCAAGGTATTGAATTGAGACATGTTATTTTTTTATGTCCAAAATCACAAGTTGGCAATTCACTGTTATCCTTAATAAATTTCATTTAAGTAAATATGCGATCAGTCCAGGAAAGAAAATTTTCTAAACAGGTGTCTGATGTTTACCTGGGATACAAGGAGCAAACGATTTAAAAATTCAAACAGTTACCCAGATCAGCTATTTTGATTGTGTGCTCTATATTTAAAACGAAAGGTGATTAACAAAATTACAAAACAAAAAAATTATGGGACAACAATTTGTCAATATAAGGGTACATCAATCACCTGACAGCTGCTAGAAGGGTCGAGAATGCATAGTTCTGTTCATCATAATTTGGTTATCCTTTACATGAATTGGATTTTTTAATGCTTTAAAACAAATAAATTACTTTCATTTTTGGGTTGTTTTTATTGCGTAATCACGCAAACATGCAGCTTACATACATGTATCTGGAGCACTGTCAGTGGTTTTTAAAATCATAGACTAAACTTGCATTTTACCATTTTTACCCCTATGATATATTTTTAGCCATGCCAGCCATGTTGATTGGCAAGCAGTTTCAAAACTAGATACCACAAGGATGATTTTGGTCAAGTTTGGTTATGATTGGCCCAGTAGTTTCAGAATAGAATGGACCTTCATCACCATTTGGACCTTCATTACTGTTTGGACATGCATCACTGTTTGGTCTTTCAAATTATAGATGTACAAGTAGATGAAATGGAAATTTAATTTCTACACGCTATTGGACTTTTCTTTTGAACTTTCAAATTTATATATATCTATATATTCATATTTTTTTTGTCAATACATTTTTCGAAATTTTTTGTAAAAGTTAATGGACCACAACAGACACCAAGTGATGAGCTAAAAACTGATGAATTGGGATAGCGGTTTATTTAAAAGTGTGCACCACATTTTTGAAGTTACTTCAAATAGACAGAAAAAATATTACAGTCAGTCCTTATAATTTAATTCTAAATTCCATTTTAAGGAGTAAATCATGAAAAAACGTTGATGACGTCATGGTCACATGAGAAAATTATGTCTATGAGCTGATAGACAAAAAACTCTCAGCCAATCAAAAGATGTGTTACATCCAAAATTAAATTATTGATGACTAAATGAAAATTAATATCTTAAACTTACAAAAAAATGTAAAACAATGCTTGTACAAAAGTTTCAATGTTCAAAAGTGCAAGTAAAATAGCTTCAGTCATATGTGTGTCATACATGTCATACTAACTGATTCTATTTTTATCCTGTGTTATAGTTCTTATCACAAAATTAATATAATCGAATGTAGTTAGTTACTTTGACAATATTCTTGTAATGTAATGAATTACATTTCAAACTTAATGTAATAATTGTAATTAAAAAATCAGTTCATACATACATTTGACACAATCTGATTAAAATACAGATCCCGTGTCCTAGCTTTGCTCACAAGGATCTGACAACCCTCTGTTCTACTTTCTGTTTTAAAGACCTTTCCAGATCCTCTGGTTTTGTCGGATTAATACACACTTTAAAAAATTTTAAAGCAGAAATTTCATTGGCAGATGTAATAATCAACATAACATAAAGTAAAACGGAGTATTGCCAGATCCTTTTAAGCAAAGCTTAGACACAGGATCTGTTTTAATCAGATTGTATTTGACATGTGTGGACAATTAACAGAAGAGAAAACTCATAAACCAAACAAATCAATTAAAACTGAAACCCAACAATGCAAAAAACTACAAAAGACATATCAACATAGGGTATCAGTGCTCCAGCTATGATTCAAGAGCAGAGTGGCACAATTTTGAAAATAGGACAGTTCAGCACATGCAGTTATACATGTAGGTACAAAACAGGCACATCAATATAAGTCAAAATCATACAAAATATCATAAAATAATTTGGGACTGCATAAAAAGTTCAGTTGTATACAATACTTTTTTTTCAAGACCCCACCACCCTTTTACTTTATTTAGAAACTATTGATTTACCAATGTTGGCATATGTGGTGTGATAATTTTTTTTAAATGCATTTCAGAAGCATATTGATGTAGTTTTTCAATCAATCTGTAATGCTATATATTATGATTCAATGTAATGCAAAATTTCCAATCAATACATGTAGTAAAGCATATCAACAATATAGATACTCATTATTTTTTACCGAAAACACTTGGCCCAAAAATTTACCATGTGGTACGATTCAATAGCTTTTATTTTAATGAAAGGTCGTAACATATTCAACATGGCGGAACCATGAAGTAATTAATTTTTTACACAACATTGATTTTTTATGTTGTTCCTTACAATTGTGCCAACTTCACCTGAATAATAGGAATACAAAGGATATGAAGTATCCTTTTATGACACAAAGAATTTTTTAGTATACAACACATCAACAAAATTGTTAATATAGTAAAAAAAAAAGCCAAAAGAGCAAAGGAACACATACAGATATTTGAAGAGGGCATAGGAGTGCAAAGAAAATTGAGCAGGGTGCTGCAACCCTCTAGTTTGGGCTAGCTGGAACACTGGGTTGTCAAAAATAGTCAAGTATCTATACCATTTATTGCCATGTGACAAGCTACAGTCTGCCCGGAGTCTAAAAAGGTAATGCATTTAACAAATAGTATATTTTTGTATATAAATACATGTATTATGTAAGATCTGCCTTCTACATGTTCTAAGCAAATGTTTTACATTTTATATTTTGAAATATATTTTTCAACATCAACCATGTGTGTCAACTTCCACTATTTTTATTGTCATTATTGTGTGGTACAAATACATACTATTTTGTTTACCTATGAATGACAATTATTTGTATGACATACTTTTTGATATACATCTTTTTTATTTATATTGAGTCATAGATCTAACTTATTCGTTCAGTGTATATTTACCTGTTTTTGTGTATATACATGTTTATGTCTTTTTGATCGACTTAAGCCATTTCAATTGATATTTTATTGTGTGTCTTTTTATGTTGTAATGTTACACCACTGTTTCAGGTTAGGGTGAAGGTTGGCGCCTGTTATAACATTTAAACCCGCTGCATTTTTATGCACCTGTCCTAAGTCAGGAGCCTGTTGTTCAGTGGATGTCGTTTGTTGGTGTGGTTCATAAGTGTTTCTCGTTTTTTATATAGATTAGACTGTTGGTTTTCCTGTTTGAATTGTTTTACACTAGTCATTTTGGGGCCCTTTATAGCCTGTTTTTCGGTGTGAGTCAAGGCTCCATGTTGAAGGTCGTACTTTGACCTATAATTGTTTACTTTTTACACATTGTGACTTGGATGGATAGTTGTCTCATTGGCACTCATACCACATCTTCTTATTTAAATGTACTCTAAACCAACTATTTTTCGTGAGCGACTTATTTTCATGACCTGAAACATAAGGCGAATATAAATGTCGCTAAAAAGCAAAACTTGAATCTTCCCTATCTATATCATGTATATAATTAACATCAAATTTGAAAATTGCCAAATTCAATTGCTGTGAACTGGGCTAGAAAGGGCTAAGTGCAAAATAAAGTATCTACGAGTATAATTTCGTTTACAGTATCCGTATATAAAAAACACAATGTCACATACATATATATATACATGAAGTACAAATTCTCTACCCTAAAAACTGACAAATCTTCAAAATTCCAAAAAAACATTTAAAATCACAAAAAGGAAACAGCACCCTTCAATATTGGCAAGGTTGAACTAAAATGAAACAGTCGTAATATTTTACCATCCATTACTTGTGTAACTTTATACACCGCTTGACTTCCAATAATTCTTTTCAAATTCTCAAGGTCAATGACACGTTCTGTTAAAGGGTAGGCAAATACTTTCATATATCCCTGTAAAACAACATAAACATTAAATTCTGTTACAAATTTAATCAATTCTTTAAATGCTACAATAAAATAATCCTTAAATTATAAATTTAATGTTGTTTAAAAAAGCGTTTTTTTTGCTTTGCATCATCTTGACATTATTATTACTTAACTAATATCGGATCTAATTGGTTGCTGTATGCATGATAAGGCTAAAATTTGATAGTCTATAGAATGTCAGAGATATAGAATTTGAAACATGTCCGGGACAGGAGAAGATATAAATTACAGTATGGAACAGGGTATTCAAGACCTGATAAACAGTTATTGCTTCTTGTTAACGTAATTTATGACACTGCAAAGCACTCCATATCTTTTTAGAAGGATAAACTTTTTATCTTTTACTGTGCACGTTTGGATTTAAAAATAGACATCATGCTATGTTCATCTCAGTTTACCAAACAATATACTTGTGCTGTACAAAATGATACATTGTCAGTAAATTTTATTAAAAAAAAATACTATACATGTAAAAGCCAGTGCTATACAGAACCATCAATATTCCATGATATTATGCCCAGTGTCATGAGTGTATAGTGATCTAAAGAGCACGACCCATTTATGGAATCACCCACACTCATCAGAATTTACTTTGAAAATTAACAAGTACAACTGATTTAAGTATATCTTATTTTATATTCATTTTTTCTTTGAGAATAAATAGCACCTATTAACAGTCGGGGGACTTATTGAAATAAGTGATTTTTAAATCACTTATTGAAATAAGTGATTTTTAAATCACTTATTTAAGTAGCAAATTCGAAGTTTTGTTACAAATTGTGATTTTGTAGTTTTACCAAAATTTTAAACACATAGGTTTAGATAATATCTTTTCATTAGTAAAATTAAAAAAAAATGAACTTTTGCTTCTTTTAAGCAGCAAGGTTTATGCCTTTGATGCAATCATTTAGCTGCCAATTCTATTTTAGTTGAAAAAATGCTATAAAAATGGCTTTACATAATGAACTGATACTTTCTTAACAGATTTTTCCCAGCAGTGGGAGTATTTTTCCTGTAAAATTCAAGGTTTCATCTTATAGATTATGTAATAAAATTCTACTGTTAGCTATCAAAATTTCACTGTTCAGGGGTGTTGAAATTAGTGGGGGTTATTAAAATAATGATACTTAAAGAAGTGATTTTTTGGAAGGAAATTGAGGTATCAGTGTTCCAGCTAGGTCGTTTTCACAGGGCGGTCCGCCCGCCCTTTCCCGAGTGCCGCCCTGTGCCCCTTTTACAGTTTGCAGGGCGCCCTGCCTTTTTTGAAGATCGATTGGTATATTATTTTGTTCGTATTGATATGATCAGCCAATTACGAAAATTTACCTGGCGACAAGTATATGACTTTGTTTACGACCCCAAGCTAATCAACGGTTACAACAGGTGTCATAATCTGATGTTATAGGTAATCCGTTTATCGGATGGGCCATTTAATGATCATCAACATTAATTCATTCAAATAGAATCCGTCAGTCGGCATTTGTCTTTGAACTTGAAGAAATGTTCATACAACTTGGGCACAATTAGCAATGTTTACCGTAGTTTCATGGAGAAAACGTAATTGACAGAGAGTCGAAAACCATAATCAACTCGTTAAAAACATTGCTCTTATTCTTTTCCGTGAAATAAATAGCAAATTAAGACGTATTTTTTATACGAAAATAACAAAATCGGCCGCCATATTGTTGATCGTATTTACATCTTCTACGTACTGTTTATTATCCTCCAAAGAAGGAGCACACCCAAATAAAGAAAGATAGCTCAATCTTATTTTTTCCTAGCATTGAGTAACCTACTAAGTAACCTACATTTTGTACTAAGATATTATAAAATATGTCTTCATACTTCTGGCTTTAGAATTTATATGTTTAGATGTTTTGAGTTATGGGAAAAGTTAAAGAGGGTCTTAGTAGCAGGGTTGGTAGGGTGCCTTGTTCATCTTTTTCTGTATTTTTCATATCCTAGCTGGAACATCATACTGTATGATACGTAAACAAGTGATTTTTATGTCATTATCCTAGATTTAGTACAAGGTCATCACCTGACATGATCAGGTCATCCTATCAACACAGATGTTGGTTCTGATAATTTTAGCAACATAATTAGTCCCTGGATCATTAGTATTCTATATTTAAAGCTACAATAAAATTAAATCACTTAGTCTAGTGATTAATTTGTACTACTTAAATAGTTGATTATTAAAGAAAGACAACTCTTACTTCCAACCTTTATGGACATAATGTTACTTGAATCAGTGATTTAGAAAATCACTCATTTAAGTAAGTCCCCTGACTGATTAATTACTAACTTACCTCTTTTTCTTTCTCTTCCTTTACCCTTTTCTTCTTTAGTCTCGTCACTGTTAAAGCTGTCACCTGCTTCAGTGATTGTTTTGCCTTAGTTGCCATTCTTCTGTGACAGTGACATGGACAAAAAACAAATGCATTGTCTGCCTTAGAAATTGTACTCATAACACTTCTATGGAAACTGTATGTGTAATGTCTTAAACTGTCTGTTTTCAGTGACATCATATTTGGACATTGTGATGAATTCAAAAGAATCCTAGATTTGGTACTTGTATAAAAGTTCAAAGACTTTGCAGCAATTCTTGCTGAACTAAAAATGTTTCGACAAACCATTGTCATTGTTTAGTCCTTGCCGCTTATTTGTTCTTCTGAATGCAATATTCTATCAGAAAATATTGTTCTTGTCCAATCTGCATGATCTGTCATGCCTGTAACAATAAATATGATATTCATTTAATTTGCTCCTCATAAACTATTACAACATACATTTTTTACATGATGTATGATGAAAATATAGATTTAATTGTGTACACATGCTTATTGGAGATGCAGCAAATACCAATTTGCATGTCTTAAGTTTGACCTGGCTGTGACACAAACCTATGACCTTGCACATTCAAGGCGAGCACATTACCACCACCACCAGGGCGGAATATTGGAAATAAAGCATTCAACAATCAATACCCAGTTATCAGCTTTCCATACTTGGACAAGTCATGAATTTTACACATTATTTCTTGAATGAAACATATAATGATGAGATGACTTTAAGCATGTTAAGAATATACTTTGCTTTTCAGCGTATCCATGAATTTAACGTTAAGTTAGTTAGCGATGAAAATACACAGAGGACAAACAAAATTATTACCAAACTTGACCAGTGGTAAGCTGGTCCTCGACTGACTACTTCTTCTTCCAAATACTGCCCACATTCAACATGATGAATATTCTGGCAAGTTGCGCATGATTAAAAACAGGTTAAAAACAGGATAAAAACAAATTGTTCTGTTGATTTAGTTTGTGGTTTTGGTGACTTGAGACTTGAATATCTCAAGAGACTTTGCTGTGGCGGTATCTGGTGGCAGTTTGTTCCAATCCTTGACGGTGTTTATGAAGAAGGACCATTTCCTACAGTCTTTGGTGGCTGGCTGTAATAGGTAAGTATGTTGTCCTGTCCGGTTTGAGCTTCTTGTTGGTTTTTGTAGATATTTATTCTTGTCTATGGCTACAAGGTCGTTTGTTATTTTGTAACACATGATGAGTCGTGCTTCTTTTCGTCTTGTTTGTAAGCTTTTCCATCATAATTCATTTATCATGTTGCTGACACTTGATCTATTTCTATGTCTGCTGGTTACATATCGTGCAGCTCTTCTTTGTACCTTTTCAATTTTATCTATGTGGTTTTGCTGGTACGTGGCGTATTCCATTTGCGGTCTTACTAATATTTTATAGGCATGCTCTTTGATGGATTTTGAGCTAATGTGGAGGTTTCGATGTAGGAAACCAAGGATTTCGGCTGGCTTTTCCTGTGATGTTGTTTATATGTTCTCTAGATCATTTGCAATGGTGCAGCCTAGGTATTTAGTTGATGTTTCATGCACCAGAGTATGGCCGTGGAGTTTATAGTCCCACTTGGTTGGCTTTTTCTTTTTTGTAACTGTGAGGACACTACATTTTTCAGGATGGAACTCCATTTTGCCAGTTTGTCCAGGTCTTCTTGGAGTTTATGGCAGTCGCTGTCTGATGAAATTGTCAAATAGACCACAGTATCGTCCGCAAACAGTCTCACTGTGGAGTGTAAGCCTTCTGGTAGGTCGTTGATGTAAAACAGAAAAAGACTGGGTCCTAATACTGATCCTTGCGGTACTCCGGATTCTGCTTTTACTTTGTCAGATGTTTCGCCTTCAACAACTACTACCTGGGTTCTATTGGTGAGAAATTCCTTTATCCATTTGTTTGTTTTACTTCGGATGCCATAATGGTGTAATTTATGGAGGAGTAAGCTGTGGGACACCTTATCAAAAGCTTTTGAAAAGTCAAGTATTAGCAGATCTGATTGTTTTCCGTTTTCCAGGTTTTTTGTGATGTCATCGATACATTCAAGGAGTTGTGTTTCGCATGATCTTTTACTTCTGAAGCCGTGTTGTAATGGGTATAGTATGTTATTTACCTCTGCATGTTTCATGATGTTACTGGTGACTATGTGTTCTATTATTTTGCAGCAAATACATGTTAGGGATATTGGCCTATAGTTAGCTGCTATGTATTTCTGGCCTTTCTTATATGCCGGAGTGACATTTGCAGTTCGCCAGTCATCGGGTATCTTTCCTTTCTCCATTGAAAAATTGTATATGATGGTTAAGATTGGAGCAATTTCACTGGCTAGTTCTTTCAGAATCATTGGCTTGATGTTGTCTGGTCCAACAGCCTTGTGTGGTTTTAGATTTTTCAGCTGTTTTTCCACTCCATTAATTGTGATGACTACTTCACTTTGTTCATAGACAGCCGGTCAGAGCCAATCTATTGTATAATCCGATTAGTCAAGAGACTTGTTTTCAATCTCCTATATTAGAGGTGAAGAATACATTCAGATACATATTCGTCCAATCAAATAACGCGTACTTAACATGAAAATACATAACTTTCACATTCATGCATTTCCCAAATTTTTTAAATGTCACAATGCTTATGTTGTTACGTCACAATGAGAGCCGAATGTTCAATGGTGCCATTTACACCGATGCCTTGCCATGTAACAACGAAATGTTAAATCTCGTTAAAATCCCATGGGCAAAAATTTTCTGCCTCCCACATTGGGCCATACCGGCTGTCTATGAACAAAGTGTAGTAGTCAGTCGAGGACCTGCAGCTTAGACCAGTGGTGAAGAGAAACTTAGAGGGAGGTAAATGCTGGACAATCAACATTTAAATCTTAAAACCTGATGACTGTGAATAAATGAATAAGAACATCACCTTTGGAGTTTTAGATAAGAGAAGAAGAAATTATGTCATTCAGATAAATATTTCATCATCTGCAAACTGCATGCTTTTACATATGCATCTGATAATTATAATGGCATGAATGGTGAGGCTTTTTACACATTTGTTATTTGAAAAAGACTCTGCAAAATTCTTTAAAATGCTTGTAATCTAAAAGAAGTGTGGGATCATAATTCTTACAGCATAAGACATTTCACTGTTTATAAAAACAGGGGAATATAAGTAAGGGGGAAGGAAACCAATGATACTATGCTTGGAAGATTTTGTTCGAACCTCTCTGGGTTTGACTATAATTTATGAGAAAATATCAGAGCTGTTCGAAAACTAATTTGTGTTATGCTATTGGTTTAAAAGTTTTGACGGAAGTATGACAATAAGTTATAACATGAATATTTATATATTTGAACTCTGTTTTTCTATCACTAATAGGTCAATACACAGTTTTGTTTATCTAGGCGGCGTATTAATCACAACCACGCACCACATCGTTCCTCCATTATACAGTTGTAGATAGTATATAACCATTACTGACAGTGTTTTTTTTATTAATTAATTTGTTTTTTCTGCTTTTTGCTGTTTTGTGTGTGTGTGTGTGTGTGTGATCGAATTAATAGCAGATAGTTTGTCGTTAATCTGCAATACTTCATGTACACCTTATACTTGGTCCGCGGTGTATTCGACTGACTGTTTCATTTTACCAAGGATTTTATTTCACTATACAAATCCTGGATTTTACCATAGATGTATGTTTTTTTTTATACAGCTATGATTTTACGTACGGTTGTTTTTTCTCTCTTGTTACACTAGTCCGGAAACGTGCGCATTATCCTTTTTTTTCAAAGGTTTTTGGTGATATTTTCATTTTTCTTTATTTTTATTCTTTGGGGGGGGGGGGGGGGGGGTGCATTTGATAGTAAAAACGGTATATAGAAAATAAAATATAAGAAATAGTAAAATAAGCAATGAAAATATCAGAAAACAGAAATAGAAAGTATTGACTCCGAGGTCATAAATGATTGAGCTATTATATTATAATTCATGCAATTTAAATTTTATGACTCCCTTTCTATTTCTTTTTAATAATCGCTGTAGCCGTAACCTTTGCTATTGGTATTGTGTTTGAAGTTTAACACACGGTTTTCATTACCTTTATGGTTTATTCCTATTCAAAGAATTTGTCAGTTTAACTGATTGTAATTTTTCTCATTATGAATTTAAAAATTTGAACTCTCGGTAGGTGGTACTTCGGTACGTGATCCTTTCACAAAACACAAGCTAGGATATGCAGATATACGAACGAATATATTTTGTATAAATTCATGATTTCCCTTAATACGTTATTTCATATCTTACTTTTTTAATACACGGGTTGGCAAGCGATCCGATAGGTATTTATTTTTCTTTCATTGGATAAATAATCCTACAAGTTTATTTGTATTGATGACGAAAAGGCATGTTACCACAGATGTAGGCCAGCCCTACATGCATTTGCTCCAGTTCCAATGTGTGTTTTCAAAACTCTTGAAGAGTAATATATATGCATTGCTTTACATCATATTTTACCCTGTTTTCATCTTCAATCAATGTTTCATATACCATATCCGTTGCTGATCCAGGATTTAAAAAAAAGGGGAACCACTAAAAAACATCAGGAGTGGGGCATACAGTCTATATGCAAGAGACATTTAGTCCCATAAGGGTGGGCGGGTTCGCTTGTCTACCCATCCCCTCACCTCAATCCAATTATGTATGGATTAAGGGGGAGGGCGTAGAATGCGTACGCCCCCTTTAATTGGATAATATATCATTGTTTAGCATTAAATCGTACAAGCAATTCTGGACCGCCCCAAATCTTTACAAATTCTTTTGATTCTTGTTTTGAAAACACACTATCAGAATCAGAAACGAAAATAAAATATGAAAGCCAGCAACCAACGACAATCACCGAAATACAGCAGCACATGCGTTGAAGACCCATTGGTTTGCCAAGGGCTGTTTTCTGCACTTTGGTCGGGTTGTTGTCTCTTTTAACACATTCCCCGCTTCCATTCTCAATTTGATCCTCCATGACATGGGACAAACGCATACAGAACCTGCAGGGTTAATAATGTTTGTTAGTGCCCAGTCCTCCCTGTAACTCGAGACAGTGGTCAATTTAATTCATGACCCACTCTTTGTGACATTTTAAAGATAAACAAAACTTCGTCAGAAAGACATAACAAAGTATATAAGTTCAGCACTGATCCTGATATGAAGCTGTTATCAGTCACAGCAAAACGGTTAACTACAGGCTCAATGCGCCTAAAATGCTGATCTTTTTTTGTTTCAATTCGTCTTTTATTGACATACAATATTTAAGCAATATTTTACACACCACTAAGCACCATCGATCAAGTCACTTTGGTTTGAATTGGTTCAGTAGTTTCAGGGAAGCTCTTTTAACTAGACAATAGTCTGTCACTCACTTGGATCTATTTGCATCTTCAAAAATGGCCACTCTCTTACATTATAGACCGGATTCTAATTCAACATTCATATCTATTTGTAAATCATGCATATTGCTGATCATTTTGGCTGGTTACAGTTTCTCTTTTAAACTACTATTGAATTTGCCCAAAATGCAATAAAATGCTCCGCTGGGCGCAGCTTGATACGACCGCTGAGGTGGAACCCTGAACAGTTGGGGCAAGTATGGACACAACATTCAAGCTTGATACAGCACTGAATTTGGATTGTGATTATATATTTGACACAGCATAGGTTTCTGACACAGTATGAATGTGGTCTAAGAACTTAAAATTTTTTAATTTACCTATTCAAACCATATCATTATTATTTGCTTTTATATACAAATCAGAAATAACCATTTTAAAATGGAAAATTTTAAAGAAAAAAAAATACCTCCCCTAAATTTTTTGAACCCCCTTATGATTCATCACCCCAAAATCAATCCCAGCCTTCCCTTTGTGGTATGGTACCTTGCAGTACAATTTCAGAGAGATCCATACACTTGAACACAAGTTATTGTCTGAAAACTCAAAAAATGCTATTTTTGGCCCCTTTTTCCTAAATGTTTTGGGCAATTACCCCCAAACTCAATTCAAGCTTTCCCTTTGTGATATGGAACCTTGTAGTTCAATTTCAGAAAGATCCATACACTTACACACAAGTTGTTATCATGAAACTAGAAAAATGCTTGTTTTTTTGCCCCTAATTCCTAAATTTTTGAGGCAATTACCCCCAAAATCAATCCCAGCATTCCCTTTGTGATTTGGAACATTGTGGTACAATGTCAGAGAGATCCATACACTAACACACGAGTTATGTCTGGAAGTTACAAAAATGCTTATTTTTGGCCCCTAATTCCTTAACTGTTGATACCATAACCCCCAAAATCAATCCCAACTTTCCTTTTGTGGTATTGAACCTTATGGTAAAATTTCATGGAGATCCATTCAGTTAAACTAAAGTTAGAGTGCGAAAACCAATGTGTCTTCGGACGACGACGACGCCAACGTCATACCAAT